TCTTTTGTGTTTAGTTGCCAGGGCCTTCTGTTCAGTCTGCTTGTTTCATGTTCTGTTTAGTTTTTATCTACTGAGTGTTCAGTTTGTGTTTGCATTTTGGTCCAGTCATTGTTGTTTGCAGTTGCTCGGTCTCCAATGTTGCGTGTGTTTGTTCCTGCCTGTAACTCTGCCTGTTCGTTCCCCCCCATTTCTTCTTGTGAAAATAGATATCTTGACATTTAATTTGTACAGTAAATATTGTCATAGTCCCCAGCCCTGTTTTTAAAAGTTTGGTTGAATCACTGCAATCAATCAGCATTAGGCCTATGTGTTTGAAAATATCACTCGAACCTAAAACGAGTTTAGTTTTATTTTTCTCACATGCATTTCTGACAGGAGTCCACTCTTTTAGCTTTTAGGCACCCCTCTTTCCTCTGAGGCCTGGCATCTCTATCCTTTCCCAGAGGATGAAGAGGCTCCGTTTCCTATATCCTGAAATCCCCCATCTTCAACAAAGTCCAGAAGTTGAACGTTCGTTGGATAACTTTGACCTGGTACAGTAAACTATTAAAATGATGAATTCTATATTGGATAGGCCTATTCATAGTTTTCAGTCACGTGACATGCGCGGTGACCTGGAGGACAAAACAACAGACCAACACCGCGACTCCCCCGTACAGACGCCGCAAAAGCAGTCACATTTTATGTGGATCACCTTTCAACTTAGGAAAACGATGGACAAACTGCAAGTGTTGGGCTTATCCGATCCATAAAACGTTAAGGCATCAGGTCCCTGACAACGCTCGACTGCGGTATTGTTTACTTTATTTACCTTCTGGGGAATCCCTCACCTAACTCCTCGAATAGTAAATCCGAAAGCACAACAACCATCCAGCATTTTGGCAACGCAAAAAGTAACAAACTCAAGTGTATCACTTGCTTCCTGGTTGGCAGGCAGCGGAAAATAACGTATTTTTGCCCTCCAAGGGAACGTTTTCCTTTCCTCCTCTCTATTATTCTAGTATCTAAAATTAGAAAATTACAATTCTTATCATTACCAGTATAAAACAATTATCTTAAACGATTACATTAACGATAAATCTCTCTCATTCATCCTCTTTGTTTACGTAAGACGTAATACAACATGTGGGCTGCCTGGTTGCCTAGAGAACGGTAAACAACTACTAACCCTGCTAGTCAACGGACCGGGCTTTGGCTCTAACGGTCTACAGTCTGTTAGCTAAACGTTTGGATGTAACGAATAAAACAAAGACAATTTAAACTACAAAACACTCTTACAATATATCCTAAACATACACATGTATCAGTGGAGTTAGGCAAACGTTTCATCTTCCTTCGACATGTTTTGACAGGTGAAAATGGACAACGCAGTGATCGCGTGCCCTTTTAACTGCAAATAGAACTGTTTCATTGTTGAACATGCAAAATAAAGTGCATATCTATTTATATAATAACACCCAAGTGGGCATTTTCCTGTAAATATCCTATATGCCACATCTGCAGCCACACATTGGGGCGCGCGCGCACACACATAGGCTACCATATAGTCCACAAAGCTTGCACTAGTGTGTGCAGCTTTTAAAAACTGAAAAAAACCGGCGTTGAATCCCAGTCTCTCTGCCGGGGAGAAGGTCTTGTAAATAGCGGGCATGTAGTCATGAGGCTCAATCAAGTCTTTAGATGTTGCTTTATTGTTTCTGTCGATGGATGGTGGCGAGTAAAACACCTTGAAATAGGAGGCTTCTTGTCCATCAAAAATCCTTGCCACCTTGCTGCTCTTCGGGGCAGCTGGGGGTAAAATAGCAAGAGTCTGAAAACAGCAAACTAACAAGAAAGCCCCGCAGAGGAAAGTGAAGTGATAGAAATCCATTCTCTATCTTGATATCGGAGCCGTAGCCTGTGGCCGGGGAACCACGGGCAAAGCCGGAGCTGAACTCTGCATCCACTCTGCAGTAACTGGCTGCGGTGCAAAGTGCGCACAGCTCAGGGGGACAGGCGGTGCAAAGTTAAAAAGGGGATGAGAACACGCCTACATTGTACTGTTAAGTCCAAATAGTGGGCGCTAATTAAGGCTGTGAAACCTAGTAATTCCCACTGAGTCTCCCGCCCTCTAGTGAAGCGCAAATACACTGCTCAAAAAAATAAAGGGAACACTAAAATAACACATCCTAGATCTGAATGAATGAAATAATCTCATTAAATATTCCTTTCTTTACATAGTTGAATGTGCTGACAACATAATCACACAAAAATTATCAATGGAAATCAAATTTATCAACCCATGGAGGTCTGGATTTGGAGTCGCACTCAAAATCAAAGTGGAAAACCACACTACACCGATCCAACTTTGATGTAATGTCCTTAAAAAAAGTCAGAATGAGGCACAGGAGTGTGTGTGGCCTCCACGTGCCTGTATGACCTCCCTACAACGCCTGGGCATGCTCCTGATGAGGTGGCGGATGGTCTCCTGAGGGATCTCCTCCCAGACCTGGACTAAAGCATCCGCCAACTCCTGGACAGTCTGTGGTGCAACGTGGCGTTGGTGGATGGAGCGAGACATGATGTCCCAGATGTTTTCAATTGGATTCAGGTCTGGGGAACGGGCGGGCCAGTCCATAGCATCAATGCCTTCCTCTTGCAGGAACTGCTGCCACACTCCAGCCACATGAGGTCTAGCATTGTCTTGCATTAGGAGGAACCCAGGGCCAACCGCACCAGCATATGGTCTCACAAGGGGTCTGAGGATCTCATTTCGGTACCTAATGGCAGTCAGGCTACCTCTGGTGAGCACATGGAGGGCTGTGCGGCCCCCCAAAGAAATGCCACCCCACACCATTACTGACCCATCGCCAAACCGATCATGCTGGAGGATGTTGCAGGCAGCAGAACGTTCTCCACGGCTTCTCCAGACTCTGTCACGTCTGTCACATGTGCTCAGTGTGAACCTGCTTTCATCTGTGAAGAGCACAGGGCGCCAGTGGCGAATTTGCCAATCTTGGTGATCTCTGGCAAATGCCAAACATCCTGCACGGTGTGGGCTGTAAGCACAGCCCTCACCTGTGGACGTCGGGCCCTCATACCACCCTCATGGAGTCTGTTTCTGACCGTTTGAGCAACACATGCACATTTTCGACCTGCTGGAGGTCATTTTGCAGGGCTCTGGCAGTGCTCCTCCTGCTGCTCCTTGCACAAAGACGGAGGTAGCGGTCATGCTGCTGGGTTGTTGCCCTCCTCCACGTCTCCTGATGTACTGGCCTGTCTCCTGGCAGCGCCTCCGTGCTCTGGACACTACGCTGACAGACACAGCAAACCTTCTTGCCACCTCTCTCATTGATGTGCCATCCTGGATGAGCTGCACTACCTGAGCCACTTGTGTGGGTTGTAGACTCCGTCTCATGCTACCACTAGAGTGAAAGCACCGACAGCATTCAAAAGAGACCAAAACATCAGCCAGGAAGCAAAGGAACTGAGAAGTGGTCTGTGGTCACCACCTGCAGAACCACTCCTTTATTGGGGATGTCTTGCTAATTGCCTATAATTTCCACCTGTTGTCTATTCCATTTGCACAACAGCATGTGAAATTGATTGTCAATCAGTGTTGCTTCCTAAGTGGACAGTTTGATTTCACAAGAGTGTGATTGACTTGGAGTTACATTGTGTTGTTTAAGTGTTCCCTTTATTTTTTTTGAGCAGTGTATATCACGCTGGTGCAAAAACATTCAGCCAATCAGCTTCCTTCAGCACCATGGACAGAGTCTTAACTAACGGATCGACTCTAAAAAGAAACATACACTGAAGCATTAAAGATGTTTTTAGCAATGAACAACATAATTTTATTGAAGAGTAAAGTTTCAAAGTAACAATCGTCAACAAAATGCAAACGTCACATCTTTCATCTTGTTAAAGATTCAAGTAGCCTAATAAACCCTACTGCACCTGTTTTAAAATAGAAAGTCTATGTGAATCTTAGACCTGGGCCCGTATTTATCAAACTTTTCAGAATTACTCATAAGAACACTGCTAAGAATTTACTTAAGACTAAAAAAAATATTCCTTTGAAGTTAGTTATCAAGCACCCCACTCTTAATTTGAGTGAAGTGTAGGACTAAATCTTTAGTGTCAGTCTTAGTGCTGATTCACTGCAAACAGGATATTGGATGATGATGTAGTCAAGGACCAATAGAATTGATTTCCTTATTTAAGAATATTCTCAGATACATTCACAGTGAATGGTGAAATTCCTAAGAGGAGTTTAAATACAACAGACATTTGACAATTAAGAATTTTTAAGAGAATACATTAGCCTATGTACATAGGCTACGCACACATTGGAAATTAAAGATAAAAAGTTGATCTTTATATACAGTAAATGCCATCAGTTGCACCTATACTCCTGGGAAGCCAGCTATTGCATGAATTGCATGAATTGTGTTTGCTTCTGTCGAATTAAGCGGAGTGTTGTTGGGAAGTCTGCTTATTGATGGCTGCGACGGGCCAAAATCATTAGCATTGCTGTATTTTTTTTCTTGTGGCAAATAAACAAAGCGTCATCACAACCTTCAATTTAGCTGAAAACATATTACTGCGTAAAGTCAGTGGTGAGATGACGTCCCTCACTAACTCGCTGACAAAGAATATGCCTGCGCTGTCTGACCCCGTCTAATTAAGTGTGCGTCGTCAAATAATTCAGAAACCTTCCTCCTCTCCTGAAATATTTGCTCGTCTGTCTCCAAGGTGCCCTTACAAGCTCCTACTGGCAACTCCTAACTACTTGAGAAACCTCTGGAGCTGTCGAAGTAGGAGTAAATTTCATGAATTTTCAGCACTTAAGACTAAAATGGTACTTTGAGAAGCTTGATAATTACCAGCCCTGGTGTAACCTATTCATATGAAACAGACATTTACACATGATAAAACGAAACAACTCAAAAGTCATGGTGACTTTATGTAAATATTAATAAAAGTTGCCCCCCCCCCCCAAAAAAAAAATAAACACCAGCCCTGTGTATAATATATTTAAAGATTACATTTGTCTTATTTAGCAGACTTATTTGTGTTACGGGGGATATAAGATGAGGTATTCTTCATAAAACCCTAGGTTCACAGACATATCTAGAATATCGGGATGAGGTCTGAGCAGCAGGCCACAGCGTAGACAACGCTGACCAGACACAGACTGCCAGCAGACACGGCGGTGCTGGAGCCAAAGATGCTCTCGTCAGGGGTGGACTGTGGTTTGCTTGTGGTTGAGGTGGACAAAGTGGATGCTGGCTCAGTGACGTTGCTGGAGTTTGACGGGGTCTGGGTGGTTGGAGTGTTTTTAATAGTGAAGGAGCGTGACTCGGTGCCCCACTCCTTCAGAGTGAAGACCATGGTTAGGTTCTCACCTGCCAGGAGAGGAGTGATTATTGTGAGTGAGCGAGCAAGTGATGGATATTTATTAGTCCTTTCAGAAATTCATAGTGTGTCATGCAGCAAACATCAGACCGACAACAACAAACAAACACTGCATTACCAACACAAACATCTCCCGAGTGCTCTACAAATTATAGGTGCAGCTCCCCGACACCCAGAGATTCAGGCCTGTTTTGTTATTTTATTGTTTGAGAAATCTAATACTAGTAGGCACAAATGATCTGTGGGCCAGGTTGGTTGAAAATGAAATGACAATGAAGAACAAAAACCTGCAAAAATCCCAGAGTTTGGCACCTTGGCAGTAAACAAACTTTATCTGAAATTAGTTTTGTAGCTGTTTGTTGGATTGATTTTGAATAAGCATAATGCAGACGTACCGCTGCTGAGAATGGACAGGTCTGTGAAGTTTGCCCAGCAGGTGCTGAAGAGGATGGTGGTGTTTCCTTCCAGCCCACCTACGCTGTTCCCACTGGAGTCCTTTAGGCTGGCTGTTACAGTCAGAGTTGTCACTCCAACAGAGACACAGTTACCCTGCAGACCACAACTTGCGTCAGTGTTAACAGACAGCGTACTTCAACATAATGTTAAGTCTTCTAGTGTGTCCTATAATAACTGATCTCATTACCTAATATAACATGTAAACATTCATGTTTTAATATTAGTGTTCTAGTGATCCAAAAAACAGTATTTATGGGGCTTGAAGGAGATTATTTTGCTAATAAAGATGGGAACAAATTTTAAAAAGGAGACAAATACCCAAAATAATTTCAAATCAAGGAAATTAGATGAAACATGTTTTTGTATAGTATTCTGTTTACATTTTTTTTGTATTACAAGGTCAAAATGTATTTATGTTAAAAAGGCTAAGTAGGCAGCTTTAAAGATGGTTCAAGATCAGATAAATAAATGAGTGTTTTTGGGGTATTCTGCCTATAGCAATAGTAGAGGGATGACAGGAAATCAGGGAGAGATGCAACAAAGGTCTCCAGACTAAGCAGCAGCTGTGCAGTGAGAATGATCTCTTTGGCAAAGTGTGATTGCCTCACCTGCTCATCCACAGCCATGAGATTAGGCTGCTGGTACAGAGGACCCACAAACACCCCGGATATCGGCTCCACCATCAGCAGCAGCTTGGACATGCGGGACACGTAGCTCATTTTAGGCTGCTCCCTCGTCACTTCTGCTGTGGCCTCCTAAGATTTAACAGCAGAAAACCATCGAACCAGTGAGCACTCCATCAAACCATTTTTCTTGTACTGTAGTTTTACTAAGTAGATGTTGTTATAATTAAGTCTTGATGTTCACCTGATTCCAGCTGGGGTCAGATGTTAGAGGAGGAGGTGGGATGATGCCCATCGAAGACACGTTGAAGCCGATGGACTGACTGAGATTTCCAGTAACTGCTGCCTGACCCAGATTATCTGCAATGCTCTTCAGCAACGTGAAGTCCTCTTCATCTGAGAAGACAAAAGGAACAGAGAGATTTTATATGTGGCTATTAGAGGGCTGAATTTACAGGCCAATGTTAACAATAATAAGACATTAAAACAGTCAGTATATAGAAGAGCAAACATAAGCACAGAATTTAGATTTCTGCTCCCACTAACTGTTAGTGCTGTTAGTGGTTTGCTGGACTGGAGGTTTCTTGAGCTCCACCTCCACCGTCAGGTCTGTGGATCTCTTCCTCCGTCGTGCGCCTCCACCCTCACGGATGATCTTGGTGATACGGATCATATTTGGGGGAACTTTGAGGTACGCAGCGAGGTTGCGGATCAGGTTATCTCCAAAGAACTCTTCCTCGGTCATGGCGGGCAGATTGAAGGAGATGAAGAGAACTGGGGATGTTCTAATCTCCACCGGTGTGGAGCCCCTCAGCACAATCTTCAGCATTTTGTAGTCCTGGTCGAAATAGTTAGTGCCCACAGTGGCATTCAGTTGGGGAACATATTGATCTGGAGGCATAAAAAAAAAATTTGAAACAGAAAATTATTGCTGATGTAAATTTCAATTTTGCTACTTTGACCCTCAGTTTGCTACCTACCTGCTTTAGTCTTCACGTGATTCATCAAAGACAAAAGAGCCATTTTATGTACTAAGAATTTAAATTATTTTCATTCATAATTGGTTGCTTTACATGTGGAAATAATAAATGATTAATTGTACAGTGCAGCAATGCTGAATTAAATTAAAAGTAATTTAACAGTTTGTTCACTTTACAGCTCAGTAGTGATTAAATGCCTGTAAGAACTGACAACAAAACATTTAAAAAGAGATGATATGTTGGGAGGTAATGTAGGTCAACTTGTCGCTGCATATTATGCAAACAGTAACACAACTGTTGCTAATAAAACAAGGTAAACAAACCATTCTCAGAGTATCAGACATTTAACATTAACACCAGACCACACACGTACATCCTTTACATAAATCCATTATATTAAGGGAAATTAACATTAATCATTTACATTAATAGATATTTTGAAAACAGAACAGAGTAGCCAGATCTTATTAAAACCATCTCCTAAAGCAAAAAAGCGACTTAATCAGATCCAAAGAAATATGACAAATGTGCCTGTTCTGGCCTATTCTCCACAAATGATTACACGAATGGAAAATATTATAATAATAATAGTAATAGACACTTTAATAGATAATGTAGGCCCGACCCTGCTTGTTTTATTTACAAAATCACATTATGTGTAATTATTACCTGTATAAATGGGCTCCTTCAGGGTATAGTCAGTGTTGGCAGCGTTCCAGTCAGCGTTAGTCGGAGCCACCAGCTTGTTGTCAACATACACATCCAACCGCTGTGGATTGGAGTAGAAGACTGACACCATGATGCTCTGCACAAATCAAAAAAACAAAAAGGTGTCGAAGTGAATAAAAGGAACTGAAGTAAAGTTTTATAGGGTTGACTTTTGACCCAGAGGTAATCAGCTATGAGGTCACGAGGTCCGGAGCACCGTGATTAAACGTAGGGTAAAACCTAACAATAAAAAAAATCATTGATAACACGATCAACTTCAATGAAGGCTTTCGGACCATGTGGACACAGCTGATTTGACTGTCGCATAACCTCACTTCAACTTGAAAAAAATTCTCGCTCATCAGCCTTGGGGAAACACGTGTGCACAATAACTGAGAGCACTGCGTTTTGGGCGGTACTATTTACCTTGAAAGGGGCATGAGATAAATATATTTTGTGAATTTCCGGGTGGGTCAAATAGGGTGAAGAACTGTTGCATTTATCCAACGAAGGTTAAAATCAAGGGCAACTGGACTTGGTTGAAGATGCCCTCCAGTTGCCCTTGATTTTAACCTTCGTTGGATAACTATGACCTGGATGACTGAGAATCTTCATAGACAACTGTTGCATTTGCACTACCTGATCACCTTTCAGTTTGTATCTTTTATTTTATGCAATATATATACATACACAGTATCTCACAAAAGTGAGCACACCCCTCACATTTTTGTAAAAATTTGATCATCTCTTTTCATGTGACAGCACTGAAGAAATGACACATTGCTACAATGTAAAGCAGTGAGTGTTCAGCTTGTTTAACAGTGTAAATTTGCTGTCCCCTCAAAATAACACATCGTACAGCCATTAATGTCAAAACCGCTGGCAACAAAAGTGAGTACAGCCCTAAGTGAAAATGTTCCAATTGGGCCCAAAGTGTCAATATTTTGTGTCGCCACCATTATTTTCAGTAGTGCTCTCCAGGTTATACACTGACCTCAGATGTTTCAGCACTGAGCATCATGAGGCGAAGTTTCTGAGGGCTGACGCTGGTGAAGAAGACGTCAAAGGAGTGTCCAATGGCCACGATGCTGTGAAAGAGAGACACTCTTTTCTGACAGGTGTAGCCCGCACACCAACCGTGATCCTGAGGACCTGGATACAAATACGTCCAACTGAATTAAAGACACATTCTTTCAATTTAATTAACTTGAACAGATCATTTAGATTGTTCTGGGTTTTTATCGTTTCAGAACTACAGGACTTAATCTACCGTTGATCAGATCTACAAAGCCATCTCCAAGCACAGCGACGGGGGACAGACGTCTGGTCTCTGTGTCAGAGTCAAGACTCTCAATCACCAGCATCCTGTAGTTCAGCCCGAAACATTTGTAGCTCTGCCAGGAACTCATGTACATGCAGTCTTTCCTGATCACACCTAAGGACAAATGAATCAACACAGTATTTTGGAATTGAGTTACTTATCAGCAGAAAGGCAACACAGGACATTAAAGGAAGAGGTTTAATGACTTTTTAACTACTTCTACTTTCTCTGATCTTTTACAATAAAACTTTTGACACTGAGCAAAGTCAAAAACCTAAACCAAAAAACTAATGCAGTAATTTAAATTTGTATGCTGAACTATTATTTTAAAGCTACAATGTTTTAATTTTGAACATTAAAAAAAATTTACATTGTGAACATAATCTGAAGAAGTAACAGTTCTGACATTATAGTAAATACGTCTCTGTTTTGTGTTGCAGAGATATCTTAGAAGGTAGCATGCTAACCAGCCAGCCTCGGCCCGTCCTGTGTAGTACCACTTTGTCCTTCAAGTAGTCTGTTAGAATAGCTCAAGCCTCCCTCCATCGTTTCAGCTGTGAGATGTGTGCGAGCAGCAAGTTTGCTATGTTGCACAAGCTCTTGCTTTTTAAGTCTAATAAATAAACACAATTAACTCTAAAAATGTAGAAACATTATTGCACCTATTTCCCTTATGTAACAGCAAAATACAACCCGACACCTGACTGAATTCAAGTTTCTCCCTTTTACCAAACTGAGACTAGTGGCCGGAGCCAAAACAACATGTACCCTGTTTCTGCTGAATGACCTGGATGGGAGACCTCCTGGGAAAGCTTGGTGGGCTAGTAGGGGTCAATCTTCCCTCTGGCCCACTTTATAATATCTGAATGCCCCAGTGCAGCGAGGGGAAGTTGTGCTATAGGAGATGCTGTCCTTCGGATGAGACGTTAAACTGAGGTCTCATTGTGGTCATTAAAGATCCCATGGCACTTGCAGAGAGTAGGGGGACAAGGATCATGCCACTTTGGCGATATGGGGGTGCTCAATGTCTGATTTTACATAGAACTGCCAGTTTTCTTTACATTACATTTACTCATTTGGCAGACGCTTTTATCCAAAGTGACTTACATTTGAGGAACAACGTACAAGCATTAATAGAGCATCAAATACAGCACGAGATCTGCAACTGACAATACATATAGTACTAGTAAAAGCAGCTAATAGCACATATCACATCAATGGGGTAAATACGTAGGGAAAGAATTAAGAGTTAACAAAAAAAGTGCTATCAATACAAGATAATTGTAAGGGGATAGAAGAAAAGAACAGGAAGTGCATGTTGAGGTTAGGAGTTAGAGGTGTTATAAGAGGAAGTGTTCTGGGAAGAGATGAGTTTTCAAGAGCTTCTTGAAGTTAGAGAGGGACGCCCCTGCTCTGATGGTTTGTGGTAGCTCGTTCCACCATCGTGGTGTCACAGATGAGAACAGCCGGGACTGGGATTGCTTTGTGTGAAGGGATGGCAGAGCCAGGCGGCGTTCGTTGGAGGAGCATAGTGGCCGAGAAGGAACGTAAACTTGTATTATGGAGATAGGTGAGTGCAGACCCAGCAGTCACTCTGTATGCAAGCATTAGTGACTTGAATCTGATTCTGGAGGCTATGGGTAGCCAGTGGAGGTCATGGAGTGACATGAGTCCTTTTGGGCTGATCAAAAACCAGACGTGCTGCTGCGTTCTGAACCACTTGTAGGGGTTTCACCCAATAAGTTACACAGCCTGTTACAATATACATTACAATGTTTAATTCTGTAAATAAACATGTAAAAAGTGCATTTAAAGTGCATGAATAAATCCAAAATTGTAACCCTAATCCTGGGTCGTCAGTACACATTTGTAGGCGTAGCGGGTAAACGGTCTATGGTGTGCAGTGGCAGCAGAGGAACGCTTGCTGAAGAGAGGGAGCCCGGCTTCACTGGTGTTGTGCCGAGTTGTCTGCACCTCGCGGGACTTTTGGATAATTTATGACCGCTGATTAACCACACAAAGAATATTATATTGTTTTTTTATACCATAACCTTTTACTATCAATATTAACCTTTTTTTATTATTATACTTGTTACGACCCATGAGGTCTGTGTGCCGTATTTGTATTGCTGTGGGTGTATCTGTCTCTTTCCTGCAGGTGTGTACCTGTACCCTGAGTGTGACGCTGGGCTGAATTCGCAGCTGTGGCTGATCAGCGGCAATTAGAGGGCCATATAAGCAGAGCCAGTGGAGTGCTCTCGGTCTCACTTCTCACTCATCTCTCATTCACTCACCCACCCTTCCTTGGACTCGTAACCGTCTGTGTGGCTTACTGTGTGATTATTGTGCGATTTACTGTGTGATCTACTGTGTGACACTGTGTGTGTAGGATGTGATTGGCGGGGTGCCGCTGGCAACTTCTCCTCGCGCCGTGAGGTCGGTGACTCCGTGGAGGCGGTCATCAGCTTGGCATTCCTGATCAGTGTAAGCCAGTGTGGTGAGCGGCGGGCAAACTCCATGTGTGCTTCCACAGCGCGGTGGAGCTGGAGAGACCGTATGGCCTTTTATGTTGCTACCTATGTTATTTAGTTACTTTATATAACTTCCATCGTCTCTCGTGTGGACAGAGATGGTTTTTCGTTGATTAATCGCCTTTTGTTATTTTCCGATTAAGAATAAATACATTAACTTGACACGTGTTTTGAGTCAGCCTTGGTTTTTCCCACTCGGTTATTTATCTTTTTGTTCGTCCCACACCCCTAGACAAGCCGAGTACGTAACAATACTCTTCATTAGTTTGTTCACATACATTATGTAGGGTTTAGGTCAGAGCTGTGAAATTGTTTTAGTGTTTTCCCCCTTCAAGGCCGGGAGAGGATCTCTGTTCCCCAAAACAAAGAAACCTAGACTGTGTAAATGATTATGCATCCCTTTGCTTGGGGTCAGACGCCTGAAGCTGCACTAGGCGTCAGGTCTCTGGAAAAGCTGTATCTGTTTATTCTCTTTTATTAATAAATTCTTCAAAGACAATGGTTTGTTGTAATTCAATTATTTGCTTAATCCCTCACCAGCAATATACAATTTCCACGACAATTATTATAAAGCGCATTTTATTCAAACTCAACAGAAACCAATCAAAACACAAAACTATCTTGGTTAGTCTTTCCATTGTTCCAACAACCACCAACTCTGGTTTGGTCGAACTAATCCCATAATGCTGTTTTCGGCCGTTATCAAACCTGCCCACTCACCTGGTACTGGTTGTGGGGTCAGCTAATATAACTGCTAAGTTAGCTGTACAGATGACTGAAATTACTCTGCCAACTAGCTAAGCGCAGTTAGCAATAGTTATGGCTTGATATGTGATGCTGCCCCTATATTTTTGGAGTATGAATTCAACAGGTGGAGAGTCGACTCAATTCTTACACATTCAAATGCAAAATTCAGGTGGCAGGTGTAATTTCAAAATATATAAATATATTTTTTCTCCTGTAGATCAACTTTTCTCATGTAATATTATCCATGCTGAGACAACACATATGAAGGCATGATTTAGCTTTCCCTCGTCTTTTGTCATGTTCAAAGGGAGAGAACGGAAAACTTGACCAAAAAGAAACTGTGTCAAGAAGTTGTTAAAGTTACTGATTGGTGGATGCATGTTTTTGGGTCAATTTATAATCAGTATCTTTTCTTTTAGCTTATGATACGTCTTTTGGACAATGCAAATGTGTTTCTTCTATGTTTATTTGAAATGCATATTTTCTTAATGTGCAAATAAACCTTTCTAAAGGCATTTTCATTTGTTATTTAACCGCAAGCAATATTTCCAAACATTTTTTAACAAATTATGCTTTAAAAAGTGGTGGGGACAAAACCAGCCATTTCAAAAAGTGGTGGGGACATTTCCCCAGCGTCCCCAGTGTAAAGGACACCTATGGAATTAGGTGACTTGAATTTCACTTCCTATAATCCTACACTTCTGTTTTTTTGAAAATTTGAAAATCAAAGAAGCAAACTTACTTAAAAGTGGTAGAGCCAACTGTAGTAAAAACAACTGTAGTACCAGGCAGCTACTGTTTAACTGGGGACTGGGAATCTGATTTTCATTAGTATTGATCTTATTATGTTTACAAAAAAAGACTCCCTCTCTGTTGTTACCTTTGTGTGGAGCGATCTGGTTCACAGGTATGCGGCTCCCATTGAGGAAAGTGAGCATGACTTTCGGGATGCGGTAGTCGCCCAGCCCCCTCCTGGGATCACCTCCCCACTCGTACTCAGACTGAGGCACTACAGCTCCCACTGCACCCAGGAACGAACCATCCAAGTCCTTCAACAAGCTCTTCTTCTTCGCATCGCAGTCCATGTCCACACAGTCAGACGGGTTCACTTTACTAAAGCACAAAAACAGAGTGATTGATTTTATTTCATTATATACAAAAAGAGCAGCGAGATTATACTAATAGTTTAAAGTTTTAAATGATTTGTGTTAAAATACACTTCTTGTCAGTTTAAATTTAAGCAGCAATATTTAATGAATGCTGCCAAGTGCAACCCTAACTCGAAGACTTATAAAAAATGTGTGGCTTAAAGGCAGAGCAGGCTGTCCACATTGCACCCTCCGCAATGTGTGTTGACATGACTAGACTAGAAAGACACTTAATAAATGCAGTCCATTTAACCATTTCTCCAGGTGTATTAACATTTTTTTTTCTTTTCTGTTGTGCCATGATTTACCTCAGATCTGGCCTGTGGACAAAGACTTTGGCCTCCTCTGTGCTGTCAATCATCCTGATGGCTGAAACCTGCACAGGGTGCTGCAGATCCTCGTTGAGTGGGTTGGTGATGAACATGAAGTTTGTCTCACTGGAGCAGATGTTTCGGAAACTGACAAATGTTGTGTCTACAATGAGAAATGAGGAATAAGGAATATGTTCTTCTTCAAATCATTGTGAACATTGTTTGCAGCAACATAACATAACTCTAGCCCAAAAGCTCAGAGCCACAAGTCACCTTTGACTTTCATCAGTCCTTTGATGGCATTGTAGTTGTTGTTCAGATGATGGGCCATCACTGGAGCGTTGTTGTGTTGAGATCCAAAAGTCGGCCAACAGATTCCAGATCTGCCACCTGTACAGAGTAAAAACAGAGTCACAAAATAACACATTTTTTCTTAGTACCCAGCCTGCATTTATACAGAAAAAAGGATAAAATCCAGTTCTTGTTTGCTTATGTGAAATTACACAATTAGAACCTCTTTTATAATTTTTAAGATCTTTGTTAAGTCAAGGTTATTCATAAAGCTGTTTCTGTACCAACACAAGTCTCTTTCTCAGAGCTTAACTTGGGTGATTCAATTTAAAAAAGGCTTATCCTATTGAGGAAAATATTAAAACAGGCCTTTTAAAGCCTGTTTCAACACTGTATACCCTTTCTCAGCCTAAAATGTCATAGTATTCCTAAATTAAAACATAAAAATCACTAAAAACATATGCATCTACTGTACTTTGTAGCACTGATATGAGGTGTTTTGACAGTATCAGGGAGTTTGTACGGTACCTTTGAGAGGTCTTGGGGCTCGATGTCCATTACTGATTTTAATGTTAAAATCAGTGGAAGGCAAAGTGTCTGAACAGTTAAAGCTCGGGCTGCTGCCAACAATCAAAGCATTCTGGGAAAAGATGGTCATAAGGAATATGAAATGTGTCAACTACTTATTAACAAATTGATATGTGATGTGTGAGAGGAGAGGAACAACTTAATCAATCAATCAAAATAAACCTGCTTACCTGAATGGTTACAGTTTTATCCGCATATGCGTGAGAGAGAGAAGGAGGAGCGAAGATGAGCGGCATGATGCCCATCCCGTTGTCCACCAGGGTCACATTGGAAACAACAACATCAGTGATGGTCTGTGATGTCGGTGGAGAGGAAGATGAAGAAGAGGAGAATAGTGATCTTTTAATATCATCTAAATCCCGCAACTCCTAAGGCCTCATCTTTACAAACATACTGAGCATAAAAGAAGAAGCTTATTTGTAACTTATGAACATGTGATCTTTAAATCCAAAATAAACTTTGGCATCTTTGTTATGATCAGTGATTTTTCCCTTAAATAATATTAGCACAAATGAGGGTTTAGTCAGAATTAACCATGGACCAAAAGAGAAAAGCAAACTTTTCTACTCAGGATCATGAGATGGTAAAGAAGACTGAAGCCAGGAAACACGTACTATTCTGTGGACTAAATAGCGTGTTAACAAAAAGCCAAACATGTAGCTTGGGAGTGATAATTTATATGACATTGTTCATAAAGCAAATGCAAAGTCCACAACAGGCTTGCTCACATATGCGTCCCACACTGCAATACCCCTATATAAACAGAAGGAAATTCATTAAAATCAAGTCTAGGCTTTGCTTAGAGATAAGACTACTTCCACATCAAAATTTCTAAAATAGTCTTTACTCTACAATGTTTTTTTGGTAAAATATTATTACAGCAGGCTGCACATTTGGCTCTCTATATTCTTGTTTATGAGTTTGAAACATCAGTGGACCTCAGGTTAAGAGGCACAACTCCACACTGCTTCCTCTTGATGCAGTCAAAGTAAGGCAGAACATTGAAATCAAGGTGTTTCAGTATTGAAACCTGAAAGTAAATGCCGTAGTCAAAGCTCCTCCAGATGAAGAAGTCTTGGATGAGGCTGCAGCCGGGCAAACCGTCTTTGTTGAGATAGACTCCGAACAGACCACCGTGAGCCTCGTTGTTAATCCACTTCTGATTCCCGTTAAAATAACCTGCACAGGCAGAAGTCAGGTTGGGGTAAAATCTTTCAGGTCCTCTGTTCTGCATCTTTGTCCTGAGTCTGAACATTCAGTGTACTGTTTTAAAAAGAAAGACCCTTTCTGGCCAGCTTTGGAAATGCAGCTGAAATGTCCCAATATCATCATTTGTTACCTGGACAGGGTTCACCATCAATGCGATAAGCGACTCTCTCGTAGCCTGCCACAATGTTATTCTGCAGCACCACATTTGTCCCCTCATTGACCTAAAGAAAACAGCACTGATAAATGCAGTAATAGATTTTTATAGGAGAAGTGGTTTGTTTTGTATTTTGAGAGGACAGACCTCAATGGCAGCGTTCCAGGCTAAGTTGAAGGGCTCCTCTCTGTCCTGATATGATCCAGGCCACAGCGTCATCATCACCAGGTTCCACCTCACGGTTATGTTGTTGCCCCAAATTCTGATACCTGCAAACAGGAACACATTTTAATACTTCATCTTAACACATACTAGAGTTCCTCTTCTTTGCTGGAAAAATTACATCACTTTGTTTCACAGCTCAATGTTTACCTTCTCCCACAGTGTGATGGACGATGTTGTTGTCAACGTTAAGTCCCTCTGTTCCAAAGACTCCGATGGCTGGAGAGAAGCCCTCGTGGAAAGCACAACCTTGAATTGTGTCTCCTGAAACCTTTTAGGTAGATTAAAACAATATTAATTTTACACATTTAACATATACCTTCTCCTTTTTAGTAAACTACAACAAGTCTAAACAACACCTAGTGATCATGTAAACTTCTGCTGAATGTTACAGGAGATAAAATAACGTTTTTTTTTATCTTTCTAACATAAATCTTGATATTCTTACTTCCAAAATACTTTTTGCTTTTGAATTTTTCTGCATTTGAATTGTATTATTCATCTATTTCTCTAATATGTTTTATACTACTGCTGCCAATCAGTGATCAAATCTAAAATAATTTTAATTCCAACATGTGATGGACATGTCTACCATAACACTTCTCGATTTATTAATAAGTTAATATTCAGGTGAATTTATTTTCATATTTTAACATGTATCTAATTTAAGTGTGTGTGTGTGTGTGTGTTGCTGTACCTTTCCCAGGTTTAGGAAAGCCACAGAATAACGAGGGTCGGTGTCGTCGGTCCAGCCTTCCTGACCAGAGTGGAAGAACTCCACATTCCTGATCTGAGCTTTGCCTTTAGGAAGAAAATATCAAACACTGACATGCTTAATGTGTTTATATAGAGAGCATAGTTGATAGTTTGTGTTATTTAAATGAATGAACTCTGAAAAAGAAAAAAAAACGAATGAATGATCCTCAGTTTGTGCTGAGTTACAGATGCAAAGGTGTTTTACGGATCACATGGAAATGGAAATGTGCACCTAAAAGAAAATCTACCTGCAGACATTCCTGAGTCCAAATTATCTGTAAATCAACAGCTTTAAACTGAGAGGGATCATAGGTCCAAAACACCAGTTCAGTAATCGCAGTGTTCTGTAAGAAGAGAAATCACATTGTTTACCTTTATAGTTGATACCAGCCCAGGAGTAGGTGCCCACCAAAAGTCTGGCCCCAAATGACTCCTGCATCATCTCTGGATACTCCTGACCGATGATCTTAATGTTTCTGGTCAGGAGAGCAACATTAGCTGCCAGAGTGTAGGAGAATGATGTGCCTGAGACAGAGTGAGTCTCACCTGAAGAGAGAGAGAAAAAGAGGTAAATATGGTCGTATTTCAGGATAAATATAAATGCACACCACGACATACATCTATTAAGCTGACAAATTAAAGCCATGGGCTAAATTTCAGTCCTTGACTGGTAATGGATATTCTGAATTTCAGATTAAAACAAGGACATTTTGCTAATAGCAAAATTTAAAAACCTTTATAACATGACAGTAAGTTAAGTAAGGAATATTAGTTGGCAAGTAGCAACTTGGATGTCTGTTCAAATATACAAATAAAACTGCAGTATGTATAATTTTGCTATTCTAGAGATAGATGTTGAACTGACTGATGTGAGTGTGGGTCAAAGGCTGGTTCAGGGTCAGGACTCGGCCGTCTGCTGACACGGCTGTTATCTGACGTTTTTCTGTCTCCCAGGCATTATAACTGGTGGTGGAGATGCCGACCTCATCTCCAACCTGCACAAAAAAGCAGACATATAAACAAATGACTGAATACTATCTTTCGTAGTTGTATTAATACTAAACAATGACATAGGTCAGTGTAGTTTCAGTTATGTCTGATTTTACATAAAGGCAAGATTTTGTTTTTTGATTACTTCTGCTTAAAGAATTTTCACATTATAATTCATAAACACTAAAACAAAGACATAAAACTGACCTGCCAGTCCACAGACTGCGTCAGGGTCAGAGTGTTGGATCCGGCCTGAGCAGTAGCAGCGAGTTTGGTGTGGTAAACATTGTGAGGTAGTCCATAGAGCTCCAGACTACCAAACACACCTGTGGTACCACAAAACACACACTGAGCTTGTTCTGAAACATGTGACACCACACAGTGCATCCCACTGAGCTGGGATTGTACATGTTATGGTATAATTTAATACTATCAGATCTTCACTGGCTAATTGTACATTCACAACGGAAATTCAACAGTTCAGTTATCTTTTGCATGGAGCAGTTATAGTTATTATTCAATTATCACTGTTAATAAATAATATAGTGTAATATATTGTTTATGAAATATCAAAAATATTTGGTATGATACAACAATAGCTTTGAAAATAAAAAGGTAGTTAAGACAGCGCTTACAGGGAAATGGATGAAAAAATAAATTCTTACAGTTGAGGATGTTTAATGTAATGTTTTAATATTTTTGTAACATTTGCTATAAGGCTCAAACAAGAACGTTTTGAAAGCTGCTGGGAATCCTGAAAAGAGGATGTATCACCATTTAGATAATTTAAGTTATCCGGTAGTAGTCTAGTAGTCGTTAGTTGTTGTGTTATTTCTTACATGAATTAAGGAAAACAGAAGCATTGGGTGTATAATTAAGTAAACATGTACGTAGCAGGCCCGTACCCCTCTTTTTTAAATGCAGCTATGTGTTTTAATTTTATTGTTCTTTACGTAACATCTGGAATCATTAATGTCTACTCCCTGAAAATTTACATTTACCCACATTCTAGAGAATCGTTCATACGAGTTCATAGAGCTAGCAAATCTATCAACTCTGATCCAGTTTCACAAAAAATAATGTGTTTTTTAAACATTAAAGCATGTAAACATTTTCTAGAAGAAACCTAAAATACAAGTATGAACCTGAAAATTAGTATTCTATACTACCTTTAATAAAATAGAAAAATGGTCCACATCCAGTATGTAGTTATATTTACATTTCTTAAAATATAGCACAATTATATCATTAAATGTATTGCACAATTGCAAATATATTTATAAATGTGTGACACTGTTGCAGTGCATACACTAAAAGGTTCTGTTATATCTTATATATATTAATTCAGGTGAGCACATGATCGCAATGCTTTTTTTCTTACCCAGGACTTTGGATCCCTGGTTGGGTCCATTAGGCAGAGGCCAATCAGGAGTGCGGTGGTTCCCTCTCAGTTTGATGTGCAGCTGACCTCTGAACGGCTCTCCCCATCCTGCAATCAGCCTGCCACCCTGAAACAGCAGGAGATGCAAACATTACTTCACACAACACACTGTACCAGGCATCAACCATCAATTACACTATGTGTGTAGACCAACGACCCCACTGAGGTTAAATAGCTAAGTTTCCCTGCCAGTCAGTCAGAACTGAAGAAGTCCTTTGGATGAGGGACGAAACGTCTTCCAGTATCTTCAACCAAGTCCAGTTACCCTTGATTTTAACCTTCATTGGATAACTATGACCTGGATGACTGAGAATCTTCATAGACATATGTGTGTAGTACTGTGATCACCTTTTACTTAGACTTAACTACTTTTAATCACTCATGTGCCAAATGTGCCAAAACTTTCTTCATTTAACCAAAGATAAAACTGTAGTCATTGTTTTTGGAGCCAATAGAGAATGTTTAAAAGTCAGTGCTCAACTTCAGTCGGAAATGTTGAAAACCACAAACTAAGCCAGAAATCTTGTTGTAGGTCATGGATTCAGATTAAAGGATTTATGTCTCGGCAGGACCTGGAAAAACTTGTCAATGCATTTATCTTCAGTCGATTTGACTACTAACTATGTTTTTACAGGTTTTCCTGAAACATCAATCAGACAGCTGCAGCTGATTCACAACGCTGCTACTCGAGTCCTCACTACGACCACAAATGTGGATCACATCACTCCAGTTCTGACTGTCTTAACAGGGCCGAGTAGGATTACAAGTACAGTTTTCTCCGCAAACAATGTGGATTCACAGTGATGATTGTGAATAAGAGAAAATATAGTACGAGGTTTGACTGGTGTGAGAGATGGAAAATAAAATAAGCAAACAATGGAAGGAGAAACAATGATGATTCATAAACCATTAATTATGGGTGAACAAATAGGTTTATCGGGTAAATTAACTTGTTTTTCTATTTGACAATTTTTAAAAAATTGTAAAATGTCTGTTTTAATTAATTATTATTTAATTTTGTAATATTTCCCTATGTTGCTTTTATGTTTTATGTAAAGCACTTTTATTTGCCTTGTTGCTGAAATGTGCTATAAAAAAACTTGCCTTGCCTTCAGCCTCTTGTAGCCCAAATGAGTATTACAACAACAACAAAAAATATTATTTTAAATATTATTATAAATAAATATAATTTTAGACAGATTATCCTGGCAAAACCTGCCAAAAAATCCACCCTGCCCTTCAGTTCTCCCTCAAAGGCTCTACCATCCAAATTTCCAATCTCTGAGGTTTCTCCAGTGTTGAAACGCCTTCGACCTTGTCATGTTGTATGGCCACAACACATTCTTTGTTCTCCATTTACAGCGCCAGGGCTGTGTAGGAAAACTAGATTTTTTTCCAAACGCACACACAAAACAGACAGCTAGCAAACTGAGGGAATGTTTGGTGAATTTGACAAAAAATGTCTTGGTTTCACCCCTTACTATCCCGTCAAGTCATAAATATTGGAGCAAAAAAATTTTGGATGGAAAATGGATCACTTGCCTTCAGGGTTTCAATAGTTAAGTATTACTAATAACTACTCAGATGAGATCTTTATCTACTAACTATCACAGAGCCTTCTGTTGTTGCTGGTGGAAACATAAACTGACATTAAGCAACACAAAAAGCTGCACTGTAACATTGAAAAAAAAACATCCTCCTGGAATACATTTTGAAGATAAATAAGATAAATAAAAGTTTGCCACTTTATTCCACTTTTCTTACTCACATATAAGGAGCATTAAGAGTGAGATTATGTCCTTAAAATATTGTTTTACAGTCATAATCATGGCAATCAGAGCGATTACTGATCAAACTGACCTGGATAGAGATGTAGACAGCATCTATCACCACAGTGTTGTATTGAGCCTGTTTGGTGGATGAGCTATTCATGGTGTCGGGGATCTCAAGAACTCCAATGACAGTCAGCTTGTTGAGGGGAGGAGTGTCGCTCTCCAAAACGATCCACTTGCCTTTGGTTTTATTGGGACACACAGGGGTTACAATAACACTTTACTACCAATCTGTTCAAACTGATTATTTGACTGTTACTATGAATTTAGTATTATTAATATGAAAGTTTTTAATTGCAGTTAATTGGCTCCTAAATTAACAAAACACAAAATATATTTAAAAACCGAATTTCATCACCAGACATTGTCCAGAGATTGTCTGAAATTTAGGTACTGTATTCTTCTTTATCTTACATGAAAGAAACCAACATGCTTGATTCATCATACATCATTTTGACAAGTGTCAAAATGATGTATGATGAATTAAGCTTCTAACATGCACAACTTGATTAAAATAAAACCCTCAACATAATAAAAAGTTCCCCAAGTTGTCCAAGTTGATTTTTTAAAATTTTCTGCTAGACATTACCGGATGGGATGACCACATCAGCACCCTCTGTTGGTACTGTGAAGTTATTTTCAGCTGAACTTTTCCAGAAAGAGGAATCAGACCACCGACTACAGAGAAATACACACAAACATACACAGGTCATTCGAGCGTTCAGCAGGCCAAACCACAGTCAACATAATAACTATTTTCAATTTTGGAAATGTATTGTGACAACAATCCAATCCAATTACAGAGATTTTTGGAATTCCCTATGACCGCTCTGTCACATTACAAAGGGTTTTGGCTTTCACAACTTTACTGGGCAGGAGCCTTGTTTTGTGAAACAGAAACATGTTTAGCCTCCTAAATTTCAAGGTTGGGTTCGATCAAGGATCTATCACAGTATATAAAGTATATTTATGTGCATACCTGTCTATGACCTGTTCTCATTATATGTACTGTATATATATCTATCTATTTACATTTACTACAGTCTGTTTACACCACAGTTTACACATTGTACTTTTACTCACGTCGCTACCATAGTATTCTATTTTACTTTCTATTATATTATATTCCTATATTTTAGCTGCTGTAGTAATTTATGTCTTAGATTCGAATCATATTTTGTTCCGCTTACAAGATTTTTCTATACATACAGTATCTGTACTATACTGTTCCTGAAGAATTTCACAACAACTGCTTCACTGTAATTGTTGTGCATGACACTTAAGAACTTGAAGGAAGCTCTGATCTGTATCAAGCTAAAGAAAAGAGACACTAAAAGGCATACTAAAAAGGTTTCACACAATTTGGAAACCACCAGATACCACTCTGAGGATGACTACCATTTACTCATTCCACAACATACATTATATATATACACACATATATATACACACATATATATACACACATATATGTATATACGGCCTAGTGGCCGGGTTTGCCACGGAGCCCGGCCGGGCACAGCCCGAAGAAGCAACGTGGCAACCCCCCTCTCCATCCTTTGGACCCACCATCCATCGGAAGATCCGCAGGGGTCGGGTGCGCTGCCACATGGGTGGCAGTGAAGGTCACGACGGACCAGACCCGGGCGGCAGAGGCTGGCTCTGGGTACGTGGAAGTACGCTACGTTGGAGTTTACTTCGGTGAATGATAGGGTCGCCTCCCTACGCCTTCGGGTAGTGGGGGGGGGGGGGGGGGGGGGGGGGGACTCTGACTGTTGTTTGTGCATATGCACCAAACAGCAGTGTAGAGTATTCGGCCTTCTTGGAGACCCTGAATGAAGTTCTGTATGGGGCTCCAGTAGGGGACTCCATAGTTCTGCTGGGAGACTTCAACACGCATGTGGGCAATGATGGAGATACCTGGAAAGGCGTGATTGGGAGGAACAACCCCCCCCCGATCTTAACCCGAATGGGTATTTGTTGTTAGACTTCTGTGCTAGTGAATCACTGCTCTCCCCGTAGAAGGTCACTGACCCTCTGTCTTGCTGCTACAGTGCTATTTTGAACTGTTTTGAGTCAAATGCACAAATATTGGATACTACATGGGTGAACTGGGAACGTCTGGAGGAGGCCCCTGTCCGTGAGATCTTCAACTCAAACCTCCGGCGGAGCTTTTCTGGCATCCCTGTGGAAGTTGGGGACATTGAACATGAGTGGGCAATGTTCAAAACCTCTATTGCTGAAGCTACAGCGGAAAGCTGTGGTCTCAAGGTCTTAGGTGCCTCAAGGGGCGGTAACCCTCGAACACCGTGGTGGACACCGGTGGTCAGGGAAGCCGTCCGACTGAAGAAGGAGGCCTTCCGGGATTTGTTGTCTTGGAGGACTCCGGAGGCGGTTGCAAGGTACCGACGGGCCCGAAGGGCAGTCCTTCAGAATGCTCTCAATTACATATGTGTATGTGTTAGTGAGTGTAGTGGTGCTTATGGGACGTTGCTCTGGGACGAGTTGCTTGGTGACGGGTCGCTCGGGGTCGGGTTAGTATAAGGCTGGGTCAGAGTATACTCACTACAAAAAAACTTTTACTTAATACTAAGAGAGTATTTTCACATTGTTGTAGTATGTAAGTAAGAGAGTAAGTAAAGGAAGTACATGAGCTGAAGTGATTAATAATTTAAATTTCGAGCAGCACACCACAAAACGTGTTCACTCATGTTTTTATCAACTTAGAAATATAGCACAATTTCGATCTATGTTAACTTTTAAGGACACCGAGACCATTTTACACGCCTTCATCTCATCACGCCTGGATTATTGCAACAGCCTTTTCACTTGTTTAACCCAAAAATCTATTTATTGACTCCAGACTGTCCAGAACTCAGCTGCCAGGCTTTTAACCAGAACAAAGAAATATGACCACATTACTCCTATTTTAGCTTCATTACACTGGCTCCCAGTATGTTTTAGAATTGACTTTAAAATTCTATTGATTACTTTTAAAGCTCTTCAAGGCCTCTCGCCTTGTTATATTTCTGAACTTTTAGTCCCATACATACCTTGAGATCCTCGGGTAGAGGTCTGTTTGTCTGTTCCAGAGTCTCGACTGAAAACTAAAGGGGACAGAGCGTTTGCTGTCAGGGCCCCGAGGCTCTGGAACAGCCTGCCCGAGGAAATCAGGTCGGCTGAGTCAGTGAACTCTTTTAAGTCCCTTCTTAAAACATACTTTTATAGGAGAGCCTTTCCCGATCTTATTTGACTTTATTTTATCCCTTTTATTTTATTCTATTTTACTAATTTTATATTTCTCTTAAACGTGTATTTTAGTCTTTTCAGTGTTTTCTTGCTTTTATCTTGTATTGTTTTTGTATTATTGTCTTTACACTTGTTAAAGCACTTTGTAACTTGTTTTTGAAAAGTGCTCTACAAATAAAGATTATTATTATTATTACTATTATTATTAACAGGGCTGTCTGACTGTAGCTGGTGAGTTTGATGAATGTTTTAGTGGGGGGTTTAACATACATGAAGTTGGCAGGCCGGCTGTTGGGTAAGGGGGCGAGTGTAGCTGGAGGTGGTGGTGTAGGTGGGATGCAGTTGGGGTAGAAGCAGCTGTAGACCCCCAAATTCACATCAGAGTCAACCATGGAGCGGTCGACGGTGTCCCGACGCCTGCGTTGGCTGGTCTTCCCAGACACTGCAGATACAGAACAGTGTCAAATGAATAAAGACGCACACACTGCTGAACGTGTGATTAGTGGTAAATAAACAAGATGATAAAATAAAAATTCCAGTTATGAGGCAAACAGCCACCAAAATACAAAAAAACTTGAAATCCAGTGGCTTATTGTGATGTAAGATATGGACTTAGACCAATAACAAAAGTGAAAATGAAAATAATGGCAATATTTAGACAGGTTCAACTAGTGTTTATGCTCATTAATAGAACATTATGCTGAGTATAATGTATGAGCTATAACAGTAGTCATCTTATTCATCACGTCATCACATTCAAGCAACCCAGGGTGACACTTGTTTTGTTTGACCGACACCTCCAAACCCAAATATATTCAATTTACAACAATATTAAATCCCATAAAACAGTAAACTCTTATATTTGCTTTTCTGCTTTATTTTAAACTCAAATGATTAATCAATCATCAATATTTGCAATACGATCAATAGATCTTTGTTAAAGTGTGTCTAACCGATGTAGTAGAGGTTGTTGGAGCTCTTGTTGAAGTACCAGTCTCCGTTCTTGTTATTGCTGAAGGTCAGCGGGGTCGATGAGCCATTCCTGTCATCGATGATGCGAAATCTGTCTGGACTCTGGGTGAAGTTGTGGTTGATGATCACATATTGATCCGGCTGGGTGAAGGGAAGAAGTACGGGCAAAAACACATCAGTGTAAAAAAGGCATGAAGATTATTTGCTTACATTAATATCATGTTAAGGATCTTCCATGTACCTTGAAGCCGTAGAATCTTGCAGTAAAACTGATGTTGGTGATCTGGTCCACATTTTTAAAGTACCAGTTGTACGTTTGTCTAGAAGGCAGTAAGGCCATCCAGCCAAGATTATGAGTCATTGTCTTCTCCAAAAATGGAATCACACTGGTGCCTGTAATAGTGAGTTTAAAAACAACACTTTAAATAATAAAAATAACAGACAAAACAGTCTAATATTACAGCAGGTACAATTATAAATCTTAATATATATATATACACACACACAGACATTTAGAACTGGTCATTAATGTACATTTGTCAAATTCTATAAAGACATTTTATTTTATTACAACTGTTTTGCTATATTGCTTTTCATTAAAGTAATGTATACATATTTTGTGGCAATTGTAATATCTATATGACTCTGTGATCTGTAATCCTTTCAATACGTGGGTGCCAGAATTTGGAACATCTTTTCAGATGATGTGAAATATGTTAACTTTTACAGTTTAACTGTAAAATATTTTTATCAAGTTTAATTTTGTTTACCACATGTCCTGTAAATTTAGGCTTTGCTTAGATAGTGCTGACTGACACGTCTGAAATTTATTCAGTTAATCATCTCCTCGCAGACCTACCATCCCTGACTTCGGCCTCTGCTCCCACTTCCCTGCCTGGATGCCTGCTACTCTGCCTCACGCACTGCTTCACTCCAGCCTCTAGCTCACTCTGCTTTCCCCTGGAAATCCCTCTGGATTATGTAATAGTTTGGATTGAATTTTTTTTCTTTTATGTTTTTCTTCTTTTGTTGCCATCAGCATTTTGTGACAGAGATCTACTGTGACTATTCCAATTAAGTCCAACTAATCACAAGGAGAGGTCACTGACGATTGCAGATACTGCTTCTTCAAAAACAAACAGACATTTCAAAGTTGTAAGTCTATGTGTTTTACTACCATATGAGTTGGTTAAGATGACATCCTTGCCAAGCAACGAGCTCGGTGATGGATTGTTGAACCCCAAACGATGGAAGTTGACGGTGTGGTCGCACACAGCGCCGGGGAAACCCACACTCCATTCAGCCCTCTGCGAACAGTGAGCAGGGTCCAGTAAGGGGCTCATAGGCACAACTTTATGGTTGATGTTTCCTGAAAACAACGTAACATAGTTAACATAGAGTCACATACACTGTCTGAAAATCCTCAGAACATCAAATGTGTATTAATCCGCCACTGAAAATAGTCCCCAACAAATGCACTATTCATTTCTGTTTGATTAATGTTTGCTAAAAACTAGGGTGCCTAGTTGTTTATGACATAACTGAGTATTTTACAAAAATGACACTGAAAATTTTTTATACTGTTTTGTGTAACAGATTTACATCTTCAGAATTTACCAATACACTAAATCCAATGTCACTAATAGGTCAGGGTTAGGACCCAGCAGTTGTCTTCTCTGGACCCGGACCTATAACCGATAAATTATTGAGAATCATTTACTTTTGACACAGCATTTTTAGCATTTAGCTTTTTTAGCATTCATGGCTCTGGTTCAGTGGTCCAGGAAACTCGATAGACAAATTACATGTGTTGTAAATCATCTCATGCTATTCAGCCAATTAAATCGGTGCATTCCAATAAGCATTGTTATAGAAAATAAATTTCACTTGACTTTTAATCAAGAATGGACAGATTCTTACAAGTTCATTCTTTCCACCGGTCATTTGTTCTGAGAAAATACAGTCCTAGCTGGCAGGACAAACCAGAGCTCACGTTTCTCACTGAACAAGAGACAGCGGGAAAGTAGTGTAGCGAAGGGAAAGGAAAAGCAGAGGAGGTGTTAAAGCTATGTTGAGATTGTTTATTGTAAAATTGGGTAAGGCTTAAGATGTGAAATAGAATTCAAAAAAAAAGAAAAAGGGAAATTTTTAATACCCCTGGGCTAAGGCCTCAGTCCACAGACACAGTAGGGAGGTATTGTTGACTTTGGCCTTTTCATAGGATTTGTTAACAATAGGAAAAGCTTGATAGAATGAGGGTCTGATTAAAGATGTAGTTTGGAATAATAACAAAACTTTAATTGACAGACTGAACATTAATGTAACTAAATGAGGGATTACAACAAACAAGTGAACAGTAAGAGACTAAAGACTGAGTACCTGTGAGGGAGCCATCACTGTCCACCAGTTGTACCTCATGCTCCCACCTGAAGCCAGCCTTGTTTGGCGAGTTGATGTACTGGACTCCACTAAACTTGACAGCCCAGCCACCACACCGGTCCACACACGTCCCAATGATTGAGGCTACCCCGATGGCTGTGCAAGAGCTATGGTTGAAGTTGATGAACTTGGTGTTAAGGACACTCAAGCCATCATCCAATGGCGCAATGATGCCTCTTTGCGTGCAGTAGTCATCTCCCAGTCCGAGCTCGTCCACATGGCCCACAATGGTGCTGTTGGACATCGTTGCCCCTCCGATCTCTCCAAAGCCGCTCACGGCCCACTGCAGGATACGCTTAGCTTCAATGCCGGCTTTCTCATTGTTGACCATGATGAAGCTGTTGAACTGCACAGCGCCCACGTTGACCCACTCAGCACCTTTCTCGCAGTTCCAAGTGGTGAGTGACTTGAAGACAGCTGGCTTGGGGGTATTGGAATAGCAGGCGCCGTCCTTCATGGGGAAATATTCTGGGAAGATCCAAAGGCCGAACCAGCCCTGAGAGTGCACAGTGTTGTTGTAAAATTCACCGATGGGAACCCTATTCTGACAGATGTTTGGATCGTAGGATGAGCCATCGGGGTGCTGGTGCATGCGGTACCAGAAGCCGAAGTGGGTGCCCCCCGCGGCGGCGTTGTGGCGGATGATGTTGTTGGGATTGGTGACCCAGAAGGCGGCGGGAGTGACATCGTCGTTCAGCAGGCTGGTGCTTTGTTTGACAAACACAGCCAGGTTGTACTGCAGGATGTTCTTCGTCTCAATGCCATCCTCGATGAAGAACGCCCCACCCATGATGTCGTAGATGACGTTGTGCTCCACCAACAGCCTGTGGGTGTTGTGGATGGTTACGGCCCTGTTGAAGGTCTGATGGATAGAACAACCCCTCACGTATGACTTGTAGTTAATATCTCCCATTAGATGCCAGTGGATGGGATAACGTCCTAGCCTGTAGGCCTGTCCTGCATAGAAGACCTGTGGCATAAAAGCATAAAGACTTTAAAGTTTACCATTTCAATTTGTGTGGATAAGTACATACAAATGGAAAAAAAGCAGATTGTGAGGATAAGGAGATTTAGAAAAACAGGAGTAATCTGATCAACATGTAGAACTAGAAGTTTCATCAGAGAAAGTTTTCAGTATTTTACCTCAACATATTCCAGTCTGCCAATGGCAAGATTCTCATTTGGTCTGGGTGCGTGAAACATGATGCATCCTCCAAACTCATCACTGCCAACCTCCTCTCCAAACCTTCCTTGAAAACAGGTTTGGGTGGCGAATTCACCTACAGCACCAGGACAGAAAGATGTTAATACTGCATAGCCCAACGATTACATACATGATGTAATTATCTCAAAATAACAAAAGCAATGAAAAAGGTACAAATGATGCCCAAAGTGTGGGGGTCAAGCCCACAACCTACATCATATTTTTTAGTATTCTGAACCCTGTATACTCTATTAAATTGCACACTGTTAATTTCAATAGAAATATATTTATAATCTATTAAAAAGCTCTTATTCTTTCCCAGTTTGAAAAGCTTAGGGTAAGGGTTAGCAGTACTATTCAATGCAAATTTATCCTTGTTAAACTAAAGTAGAGCTAAAACAATTAGTACATTAATTGATTTGTCAATATCACATATTTTATTTTTTCTTGAGTTCTCGATGAAGGCCATTAGTGTCCTGTTTTGCCACATTCATACATGTGGCATTGAGTCGTAGGCTTTCTTGTAGTCAATCCAGGTGGTGCACGGGTCATCTGCCTGGTCTTGCAGTCTTTAGTGACTGCTCTATCGACCAGTAGCTGGTGCTGGGCTCCCCTGGTATTACTGCCTGTTTTCCCTTCTGGACCCTGTCCATGTATTGAGTCATGTGCCTACTCATCTTAGCCGCTATGATGCCTGACAGGAGCTTCCATGTTGTGCAAATGGTAATTTGGAAGTTTTTGTTCTCTTCTGGGGATCCTTCATAATCAGGACTGTCCGTCCTTGGGTTAACCATTCTGGGTGGGTTCCATCCATAAGCAGTTGGTTCATTTGTGCTGCCAGGCGTTCATGGAGTGCAGATAGTTTCTTTAGCCAGTAGGTGTGGATCATGTCAGGGTCTGGTGCTGTCCATCTCTTCACACCTGCCACTCTTTCTTGGATGTCTGCCATTGTAATGGTTATTGGATCTTGCTCTGCTCTGTTCTTAGATCCACTAGACACTAAGCATTGCTGTTGTGCCTCCTTCTCCCATATGTTCTTCCAGTACTGTTCAGTCTCAGCCCTGGGTGGATTTGATCTTGTGTTTTACACTGCCACTGAGAGTACATTTTGAATGGTTCGGTGGAGAACATCCAGTTTATTTACCTTTCTGTAGCTCTGAGAGCTGACTATCATCTCTTCGTGTTGCCTTGATCTAGCCTCTAGCCTTCTCCTCTATGGGGGAGCTCTTTGTGGCTTATGGTGTTCATCTGGCAAACTTCGGTCAGATGCCCTTGTGTGAAGTGCCTCTGTTCTGCTTGTTGTTTTTGGGGCTTGGGACCCAATCTCTGAGTGTGGGGATGATGAAGACATCTCCCCGCTGACCTGTCGTCCTGGCTCCCCCTTGCCGTAGGATATTTGTTGTACCTCATCAACCCTCTAGTTGTGATAGCAGTTGCCGCTTGCGGATGTTAGAACCCTGAGCTAGGAGTTGTTTCTTTGTTAGTGCTGATGATGGGTTTTGATGCATCCATATATCCGACAGTCTCTGCATATAGTAGAACACATCATATCCATATTTTCTGCTCTAGTCCCTGAATCTCTTGCTCCAGTAGCCCATTTCTCATCAGGTTGCCCTGGTTCCCTAGCACCTGATGCAGACCTTGTTGACCCGGGCGACATCCGAACCGGTATGACTCCGCGGTTTCACTCATGCCTGAGGCAGACGAGTAGCATTAAGGACCTTGCCTGAGGGTTCACCTGGATACGCCACCCTGACCGTGAATCTAATCCACGATCACCTGTATATAAAATCTTATTTCTACTTTTACACAGTGTTTAGTGTAACATCAAATCAGAAAAATCTAACACCACTGAAACACATTACCTGTGTTGAAGCCATCGGGGCAGGCTGCGATATTGTCGTTCCATTCTTGGTTTTGGGAGCCTCGTACTACGATGTTCCTGGTGAGGAGACCCACCTCAGCTCGGCCATCAAACACTGTACCATCGGGCAGTGTGACGGTAACCCCAAGGTGAGTGTACTTGAGGGGTTCGGTCAGGGTTAGAGTCTTTCCATCAGCTGACACAGCGGCAATCATCCTCACCTCGTTCTCTTTCTGGCTGTGCCTGGAAACAACAGGAACCAGAAATAAATGATTTCTACAGTAGGGGTTAGTACAGTCAGTAGAGTAAAAATAATTGGCCTGTCCAAGCTTTGAAAAGGGATTTAATAAATCTATGTAGAGCTATACACCTTTAACTTTTGTCCTTTAACATTTCCTTTCAGGCATAATTTATGTGCTGTACTTTTTTTTTGATGATTTATTTCAACTTTACATGATGTGGTTTTGCTTAATGTCATGTAGAATCCTGATATCAGCCTAAAGGTGTGCGTGTGTGTGTGGGTGTATGTGTGAGTGTGTGAGAGAGAGAGAGGTTTTTGTTTTTATGTACTCAATCACTGCCTTACAAAAGCAGAGATCAGTAACTACAGGAGCAGTGAAGTTGAGAGAAAAGGGTTTGATGTTTTAAAGCTCTTTGCCGAACTGTGTAACATATTTAAGTTGTAAACCTTAATTTTATGTCTTTTTAGACTGATAATTAATTATTATAACTAACTTTACATAAAACCTAAGAAAATACTGCACTCTATGTCGGACATCCAAACCGGAAAACACAATATCTACAAAGAAAATATGTTCTTGTTACTTCTTTAACTGAACCTTTAATTAAATAAATATAAAAATTTGATTTAAAGGAAGTCAGATGCTGCAGCAGAGGCAGTTACTGCTACTCTGCTTAGCAGGACTAGTTTCATTGTTAGGAATTGATTTAGCAACTGCCTTTAATGTGATATAAACTCAATTATTAAGATTCTGAAGCATCAAAATTTCAAATTCAGGAAAGAGGAAAAGGTAGGTAAATTAGTTGTAACTAAGGCTATCTTACTAGCTAGCTGTAACTAGCTGGAGTGCAGTCAATGCAGTTTGCTTTTAACATAGTATTATTTTTATTTATGTAAAAAAATGTTTTTTTACATGTTTACAATTTTGTGATAAAAAAATATTGAGTCTTACCTCACTTTTGATCAAAAATTTGTTACTGTGCCTTCACTGTGTAGAGCGAAGGTAATAGTTTTAAAAGCATTTTCCTAAATAACTTTTCTGGTTTCAGATTAGACATGCATGAATTCGAGACCTTGCTGTACCTGTGGCCGGTGGAAGCAATGACAATTTCGTCTCCAGCTTTCCAAGTCACTGCCTTCATTAGGGTCAGTGTGACAGAACCGTTGGATGCTGTCTGGGCCAAGTGGGTCCAGGGGACAGGAACTGGAATACCTGGAGAAACAGGTTGTCAGCAACGACTTGCACCTGAAGTGAGGTACCAATAAAAACAACATTCCTGCAGGATACATGACTCAAATGATCAGTTTATCGGTTGTTTATCAGTTTATCATTATGTGACATATTTTTGACATACATTTTCTACTGCTTGATTCTTAACAGAGATGACTGTAATTAGTAGTATTCTCATTCTTTTCTTAATTCAAAGTAGTAATACAACAAAATAAAATGCTACATTGTTTTAAAATATCCTATATAAAACTACATAAAATTATAAGATGTGCGATTTATTATTATAACATAACATTATACATAACATAACTTTATGACCACTTACAGGTGAAGTGAATATGTGTGCTGATATTTGTGTCAGTAGAATCTGAATTTGAATAATTTTGATCTGAATTTGAATTGCTTAATTTATTTATCTTGAATAATTGTATTGAAAAACTGAACCTGAATAGTATAATTTGAAACTGAATTTATTAGTTTAAAACTGAAAATCGAAAATTGAAACTGAAAGTAATATTATGAAACTGCATTCAGTTGCAAGCCGAACGCCATCTGTATTCAGCATGGTGAAACATGAGAAAAGACTCTTCAGGTTTGTATAAATGTATACAAGAAAGATTTATGTATAAGTGATAGCATGCCTGATAGATCTGTTTAATGTAACACAGTCTACGTTAAGTTATTTTCATAAAAAGCCATGTTTCAATGCTTTATGTATTGCTATAGCTGTGCTCAAATAACCATAATATATGCAGTGAACTGAAGGGAATGCATTTATGACAGGATTAACGTATAGCCCACTCAGGCCACAGTGTTACCATGGCTTGGTTTGCAAAGTGCATCTATAATTCATGTTAACAGGGATTTTAACCGGGATGCTAATTTTCGCTAGCGAGGAACAGGGAAAAATGAACAGCTGAATTCTAATAAGCTTTTTCAATAGCAGTGGTTAAATTTGGAGTGCAGTAGATACGAATCACTCTAGCTTGATTGACAGGTCACCATGGAAGCGATCACAAAGTAGCCTAACAGGTATGCTATCACTTTTAGATAAATAATTTTATAATAATTATATTATATACATTTATACAAACTTGAAAAATGATGCCTTTTGTCATGCTTCACCACGCTGAAAACTGATGCCGTTCGGCTTGAAAAACCATTAAGTATTCCCATCCTAAAGCAGACCCTGCTTTATAAGCTATTTTCCTCTAAATGGGACCAAAATTCACTAAATGAACATCATGTTTGAAGCTGACTATTGAGATCATAAACTCAAAAGTAAAGTTTTTACTAATGTAATAAATCAGGGCTTTTTTGCAGTGGAGTTGCCCAAGGCTGGCTGTTGGAAAGAAAGCAGCCTTAATCTGCACTCAATTGCTCTTCCTGAAGGTCCTTAAACATAATATTGTTGAATGAAATTGAAATGAGTGATTCGGATTTGAACTGAGAAAACTAAAAGTACATAAAGACTTGAATTTTTAGTGAGGCTCAAACTAAGTTTCATAATATTACATTCAGTTTATTGGAATTCAGTTTCAAACTAATAAATTCAGTTTCAAATTATGTTATTCAGATTCAGTTTATCAATACAAAAAAATTACAGTTAAACAACACAAATTCAAATCCAGGTTTTTAATGCAATTATTCAAGTTGACCAATTTGAATTCATATGTAAATTATTCCAATTCAGATTCTACTGACACAAATATCAGCCCATAGAATTTATTCTCTGCAGAGCCATGCTACCTGTCTCCCTCTGTTTCCAGTATTTCTGCTGAGCTAAACTAACTGGCTGCTGGCTTCTGGCTGTAGCTTCATATACTTAATACAGACATGAGAGCTGCATCCACCCGCTCATCAGTTTGATTATGTTTACGTGTTTTCATACCATGTAGGTCCAGCACTCCCTCTCGGACAGCCAGCGTCTTAGTTCCATAAACAGGAAGTTCAGGTGAGCGCAGGTGTCCATGAAGTGTGATGATGGCTTTGTGTTGAAATGGTGCCCCCTCCTGGCCGATCTGGAGTCGTCCGCCGTCTGTGATCAGGATGTTTTCTGCTTGCAACTCGATGTCAGCTTCATCAAACACCAACGTCCCTCCTGAGCACAAAGAAACAGCAGGTTACAAACTAAACACTGTTGGGGAAAAAGAGCTTTATGTTCTTATGTTCTTGTATTGTCATCAAGCTCAGAGAGCGTGTGGTTCTCTCTGTCTAAAAATGGGATGTACATACGTCCAAAACAAAATTTAAAAAACATGATAAAGTAATTTTTGTACCTTGAATAAGAAGCATTTTCAGCACTGGGGTGCTGGTGTCCAGCAGGATGGTCTGGCCTTTAGTGATGACAGCAAACGAGCCGGCCTCAGGTGGAGACAGACCACCCCACGTGAACCTGGATGACCACACGTCAATGTAGAAGAAACTTGCATTATCCTAAAGAAAGAGACAAATACAGGATTAAGACAAAAATGTACTCTAAAGGTAAGGTAGGTATTATATTTTGATGTGAATAAAACAAACTCTGTTGCGAGTAAGGTCAGGAGATCTGACTGAACTCTCTTACCATCTTAGCGATGCCTTGGTCTCTGATGCTGACTCTGACTTTGGTTTCTTGAGACTGTTGCTGAGCATTTGTCACACAAATGATGTGTGTGTTGTTGGTGGATTGAACATCACACATAGACCCTGCGATGGTGACATTGACTTCATTCATGTCAGTGCTATAAGGTGGGAAAAAATGTTAAACATCAATAGACAGATTAATTCATTCATTAATCGATAAAAAGAGAGATTGGATAGATTAAATTAAATCTTACATTATATAGTGACATAAATATTATATATAGTGCAACATAAAATACTTTAGTTCAACACAAAATACCCACATAGCCTAGGCTACACCAATCAGCCATACCGTTATTATCACCTGCTGATCGTAAGTCTCCATTTTTGCCGCAAAACAGCCATGACCCGCCGAGACATGGACTCCACTGTGTTTGCATTGTGTGTTCTGAAACCTTTCTATCAGAACCAGCATTCACTTTTCCAGCGATTTGACTTTAGAGCCGACTACACGGGCCAGCCTTTGCTATCCACGTGCATCAATGAGCCTGTTACTGGTGCTTTTCCTTCCTTGGACCACTTTTGATAGTACTGAACACTGCAGACCTTTTTGGAGATGCTCTTACCCAGTTTGGCTGATTGGTGCATTTAATGTAGTCAATCATAACACAGTTAAATCCCACATGTTGTAATTTTATGTAATTTTATATAGGATAATTTAATATATGCATGCTAGTTAACAATATACTATACCATGTGATATACTGTAATATAATATAACAAATCTACATTACATGACATTAACATATCATACTACAAAGTACCAAAACCAAATACTCTCATATTTTTCACACCATTTTACAAAGCAAAACTTTTTAAATTGTATTTTAAAAAGTATGTTGTATTATCATGGATGCTTTTGTATTATATCATTAATGAAATTATAATAAATTAAAACATTCTGTGAACATTACAGTGTAGAGGTTTATTATGGTAAAGTATGGTTTGTTATGCTATCATTTTTCACTTTCTATGGTATCTCATAATTACTATTCAAACTATTTTATATACTATTTAATACAAACACTGTTTGCTGTTCATTATATTGTGTTCTTAATGGACACAATGAGAAGAATATCCCCCGTTTAGCTTTGAAATGTTCCATGAAACAAAAACATTTGTGTTGTTTGTTGTTGCGCTTAATTCTTAACCGGTGGACAATAATCTGGGTGCGGCTCTCCATTGTGCCATATGTACTCTACAGTGTTTACTCCTTTATTGCACCTGAAACCGGAGCCAGCAATTGTGAGCTGGGTGCCTCCTGCAGTTCCTCCCCTGCGTGGACAAACTTCAGTGATCACCGGAGTCAATTGAGATTTGTAGGTAAAGCCATTTGATATGTTGACGCCATCCACGTGATTAAAGACAGCAACCACGCAGCTCACCTGTGAGCGAGTGCCTGAGAAAAGACAGGACATCCAAAGACAGACAGATGGACAGACAAACAAAAGTATCAAGATGCATGCTCAGAGATAAGAATCAAAGGAAGATATTTTATTGTCTTATCTGCCATGCCTGCCCTTTTAAGCTGCGATGAAAGGCTGACAACATTCCTTGTAGACAGAAGTCAGTCTCAATTAGATCATTTAAAGTTAATCTTAGTTTGTGATAATGATTCAGGAACTAAAAATATCATAAACCATAAGGAACACATTCTCTCCAAAGAAAAACTTGAAAAGCCTTTTAACTCCTTAACCTTTACTAGAGAGATGAAAAGCTGTTGATTAGAAGATAAACAGCCTCTTTTGTTCAGAAGCAAACATATTTTTAAAATAAATTAAATGGCTTTTGACCGAGAAAACATTGTTTTGTCATATTTTAGTGAATAAATCAAACTGAAACTGTAAACTTGGAGGGACAAATAATGGATTTTAAAAAGTGAGAGGTGCATGTCACCCTATCAGTAGGGTAAATTGCTGCATCCAGTCATGATTCCTGTCATGTCCCCTGTTTCCCCTCCCTACTGTCTCTGTCAGTTTTTGTCTGTCATGTTCAGTCAGTCTGTGTGTGTGTGTGTGTGTGTGTGTGTGTGTGTGTGTGTGTGTGTGTGTGTGTGTGTGTGTGTGTGTGTTGTGGGTGTGTCACTCTGGCTCCCTCCCTCCTGGCTGATAACCAACTGCTGCGTCTCACACCTGTGGCTCATCCAGCAATCAACTCCTGCAGTGAAATACTCCGTCTCTTCTTCCAATCCTTGTAAGTTTGTCACTTGTTTACCTTTTGTGGTACAAATGTGCCAGCCCACTTAGTATAACTTAAGTCTTGTACAAGGGCGTCACTTTGTGTTGAAAAGTGGTGGGGACAAAGGTGCTCAGGTGCTCAGATTAGGGGTGTGAAGAGACACTTAGCTTCTGAGACATTATGATACGCGATATAAAGTTCACAAGGATGAGACAAAAAGATCCTTAAGTGTTTTAAAGATATCCTCAATGCTCAGATATACGAGTGGGGGTCTGGGGGGGACCTCCCCCAGGAAATGTTGATCTTTAAACACTTAATTTCCTGCATTCTGGTCAAAGTTTCTGCACCAATTTCTGGTGTAAATGTTTTTATTTATGTAAAAGAAATGTATAAACATAACAGAATATAAGTCATTCTGTGTTGCTTTCAGGTCTGTTTCTCCTGTTGATCAACTTTTCTCATGTAATATCATCCCTGCTGAGGCAACACATATGTATAATACATATTTAGTCTTCTCTCCTCTTTTGTCATGTTCAATGGGAGAGAACAGAAAACTTGGCCAAAAAGAAACTGTGTCAAGAAGTTGTTAAAGTTACTGATTGGTGCATGCACATTTTTGGGTCATTTTATAATTAGTAGCATGTTTTGTTTTTTTAGCTTAAGTTATATTTTTTTGGACAATGCACATTTGTTTCTTCAATATTTTATTTGCATTGCATGTTTTCTTAATGTGCAAAGGCATTTTTATTTGTTATATAACTGCAAGCTATATTTCCAAATGTTTTTATGGTTTAAAAAAGTGGTGGGACATGTCCCAGCATCCCCAGTGTAAATTACACCTAGGTCTTGTCATTTTTGTGACTTAGCCTAACGTTTTTGTCTCAGCCTGCTCTAGTTTGTCAACCGAGTTTGGAGACGCTGCTTGCCTGCAAAACAGTGTTTTGCTCACCCTGCCATCCCCGCACATGCCTGCCCACTTCCCATCTTTCAGTTTTTCAGTTTGCACTTTCCTCTTCTGTGAATAAGTCTGCCTAAGTGTACTGTTCATCTGCCTTGTGTCCACTCCTGAATCCAATTAGCAAAACCTAACACAACCTGTCCAGGGTCACGGGGTAATGTTCTTTCTGAATAATAAAGAACATTTCAAAAACTGTTTCTTAAAATGTTTTTTAACTGATCATTTGAAATCTGGACAAGAAAACATATCTGAACACCAATACATTTAATCAACAAACTGTGCAGTCTGTTTGATATGTTTTAATTGTGTTATTTTATGTATTTTTTTTGTTTTTATTCTTTGTTTGATCTTTAGAGTAAACTAAACTTACCGTCGTTGAGTGGAGACTGGCAGTACAGAATGTTTGACGTTGATATTTCTCTGCGAACTTCACACTCCTTACCGCAGATCATCACAGTGGAGTTGTGCGGGTCAAACCCAGAACCCTGCACGGACAGCAGAGCACCGCCACCAAAACTGCCTGAATAACAGATGAGTGATTGTCAGTCCCACCAGTCAGTCAGAACTGAAGAAGTCTCTCTGATGAGGGACAACATGTCTTTGAGTATCTTCAATCAAGTCAAGCTGACCTTGATTTTAACTTTTATTGGATATATGTGCCAAGCTACTGAACTGATAACAATGTTGACAAAGTGTGAAGATTACCTACCCTATATTCTGTATGTGTGACCCTTCTTTGAATATAAAATATTGAGGATGTATTAAATGGATTGTTTTGACTGTGCCTCTGCTTACCCTCACTGGGCTGCACGCTGCTCAGAGTCAGCTCATACATGAACATGACAGCTGACTGGGCATGACCTTTGACCTGGTGGTGCAGCATGACTGGGTATGCCCCCCCTGGGTTGTCTCCTGCAGTGCACTGAATCTGTGTGTCAGAGACTGAAGTAACATTGCAGGGGACATTGTTTATGGTGATGGAGATTTGCTGAGAGTCATTGCCAAATCCTGAACCTGTCAGTGTGATGACTGCACCGCTCGGCCCTGTGGGAAGTAAACAGATAGGAAGACGAGGTAATGAGAGAGAGGTTACACAGGACTGGATGAATGTAACATGAACATAATACACTGCATGCTTGTGTTATCCAGATCCACTGACGTGAGTGTTGTCATTAATCACGTTAATTATGGTGGCTTTATTGTTTTTACTGCTTTAAAGTTTCATCATCCATCTAAAAAAAGAAACAAAAAAAGCATCACCCTCTTTGTGCACAAAGATGAGAATAACATTTGGGTATATATTAAATATAAAATGTCACGGGCCAAGTTCAGAAGTTTTCAGATTTAACTCACTATATTCAGTCTTTTTTTCGGTTCTGTCATGTTTTATCAACTGAGGTAAATGTTTTCATCAACTAGTATTTTATCATTGTAGGTCAAGAAGTTGTTCAAAATGGCAGCACCTCTTGTGTTCAAACTAAAAGGTGATCTGTACATACAAAGCAATTTAATATAAATAAGTTATATTGTAATTTATTTTTTAAAATTCACTGCAGACTATAGTTTGGCCACCCCTGGCCCTTCACAGATTGATACATTTTGTATTTCTATATTGCTGCTCTGTTCTGTATGCACTCCGAAATGACCCCCAAATAAGGCAACAAACTCTTCTCCAGATCACTCAATAGGGGTGGGAATCACCAGAGGTCCCACAATACGATATTATCACGATACGATATTATTGGGATTTTAAAAATATTGTGATATATTGCAATTTTTTTCCCAACTTCAAATTGTGTCCCCAAAGGAAAATTATTTTTCTATTGGACTGAAAAAGCAACTGATTGTATTACTATAGCACCAAAAAGTAAAATTCTCATGTACAATTTATATAATAAAAGATTGATACTTGTCCTCCATGTTTCAATACAATATTGCCACGGAAAATATCGCGATACTATGCGATACTGATTTTTTCCCCCACCCCTAGTACTCAAGCTGCTGCTTGATAATGAGTAGTGTTATTCTGTCTACAGGATGTAGTAGAGGACCATAATTACCAGTAGTGGGGCTGATGGAGCTGATGACCGGAGTGTTGGCTGCAGAGTAGGTGAAGTAGAGAGGAGGATACTGCAACGAAAAGACCTGGATGGTGACGGTTACCAGCCCCTCTCTGTGAGGAGGAGTCAGGCAGCTAAGCCGGCCCGGCATCTCCTCCTGAATCTTGCAGGGTTGGCCATCGACCATCACCTTGGTGTTCCCTGGAGCAAAGCCGTTTCCAGTGAAGATGAGAGAGGTTCCTCCTGCCAGGCTGCCCACATTGGGGTTGAGGTCAGCTTGGGCGAGACTGGTCAGGGTGACAGAACCGGATGCAAGGCCTTTACTTCTCACAATCACTTTGACAGAGTGGACGCCTGCAGGCAGAGCGTTAACTCTCACAGAAATGTTGCCATCAGTCACGGCGGTGACTTCCAGCTCTGTGGTGCTGGCAAACACTGCTATGTCATCCACGTTGCTGCCAAACCCTGAGCCAAAGATGGTGACAGTGGTTAGACTGCTGATGTTGTTGGGTGAAATACCAGTGACTACGGGAGTGACAGAGGAAGAGTAATTGAAGGAGCAGTCTGAATGACAGGAGCTTTGGATCCTGCCCATGTAGAAGACAACATCTCCGGTGTGTGGTAGAGAAGGATTGGTGTCACAGATGATACTGGTGTAATTTACTGACACAACAGTGCACGGCACACTGGCTACAGTGACCTGTCCTTCAGTGAAGCCAGAGCCTTGGATGAGGAGCTGCGTGTGGCCGGTGGGGCTGCCAAGAGGTGGTGAGACTGAATCGACCACAGGCAGAACCACAAAACGGCGGCTGAGCTCGTCTGGTACAGCGATGATGGCGTTGCCAAGGTTGTTGACTCTGACAGCCACGGGGAGAGCGACACCGATAGGAAGTTCACTGTTGTAGCTGAGATGGCAGTTGATCTCAGAGTTAGAGCTGTTGATCACCTGACAGGGCTGATCTCCCACTGTCACCTACAGGACAAAGAGACACCACTGACAGTCACATCAAGCTCTTTACAAGCATTCACTTTATCTCTTCTAGTGATGAACTCAAGGTTAAAAACAAACACAGTTATGTTTTGGATACAGACACAATAAAGACAAAGGATCTGGAGTAGAAATATATTTTTTTTTTGTCTGCAATCCGGACACACACACTGACCAGTAACAGATTAAGTAGTTATTTTATACATTATTAACTGTGGGTGAAATGTAAAGGTCCTTGTAAACAAGAGCAATACAAAGTTTATATATGCACACAAGTATGTTTAGCATTGTGCTTCTTTAGGTCAATCACAAATAGAGTTTTAACAACCGAATGTGTATATTGCTGTAAAGGTCTATCGCCTCACAGAGTTGTGCTATTTTATTATTTTCTTTCTGCTTAACTATAAAATCATCATTCTAATAATCGTGCAAGTTTGTCAAATAGACTATTAACACAAATCAAATCATCAAACTAGTTTGTATATTTTAGACCTCCTCACACTGTATCACTCTTCCAGGCCCCTTTAGCAATTCCATCAGCTCATTTGAAAACCTTTGAAAAAAGGGTCATCGTGTCATTTTGGTTGTGGAACCAAGACTGTGAAATCTTTCATTAGATCATCTCCAACTACTGAGACTTTCAAGTCTTGTCTTAAAACATATTTTTACTCTATAGGGTTTGAGTCAGTCTAGGGACATGCTTATATGTCATGGTTACTTTATATTTCTATTGTTTTATTGTTGCTGTATTTAAATTTTTTTTACCTGATTGGTCTACTTTTTGTTGTTGTTGTTTGAAATGCAATAGTTTGTACAGCACTTTGTTCAACAGTGGGTTTTGTTAAATGTGCTTTATAAATAATTTGACCTGACTTTACTTGACTTGATATTAACTTGTACAGCTGCTTGTATTACATCTATTTAATTAATTTACTAAACAAAAAGAAGAAGGTATCCAAATAGATATCTTTCTCTGTTACTGACTTAAGATTTTTTTTTTCCAGTCATTTTAAATTTAAATCAATTTAAAAATTAGTCACAGAAACACTGCAAACCTCATTAGCGCAGGCGGTGTTGCTGAAGCCATTGCCCTGAATATGGATTAGCTCGTGGTATGATCCCTGGTTGGGAGAAATGGAGTGGACTGTGGGAGTGAAGCAGGTGGAGGAGCTGAAGGAAAGATCGTCTGCAGTCTCATTGGTCTGTTGGCACTGTGGAGTGGCGATGCATTGTGGGTGTGGTCTGGAGAAGTTATGTGAACCTGAATGGGGACACAGTTTAATCCACTGATTACTTGCAAACTTAAAAAACGCTTTTCTGTTGACTTGGAAAACATTGGAATAGATGTTGAGTTTTTGTCCTTTCTGTCTAAAAATAAAATATAACTTATATAAATATAAGTTATTTATATATATATATATATATATATATATATATATATATATATATAAACTTTATTCACCTGACCTGACTTCCTTTATTCTCTCTTAAATATGTCAAATAATATAAATGATTACAACTGTGCTTTGATGAATTGTTGTAGAAAGATCCTCAACGAACTCAAGGATTTCCTGGAGGGTCAAACTTTATACCGAGTGCTTCTTGTCCACATTTATGCATTTACCTCCAGTCACTTGTCTGGCCTCCATGCCTCCCAATCTGACTGAGACCTTGCTGCTCTTCTCTTCCCGTGGCTCGACTTTCACGACTCCCTGCAGAAGCCTGACATTGCCATCATCTATGTAGCCACTGCTGTAGTAATACGCACCGGGTGCAGTGAAACGGTATCCAAAAAAGCCTGAGGGGGGAGAGAGTGAGACAGAGTTCCTAATGTGAGCTCAACTCATGAAGCATTCCTGGACATGGCGTGCATTTGTCTCTCACGCATGCTGAACATGGCACTGATCACATTTCCTCATATGTCACATATCTTGTTCACTGTAACATCACAAACACTGAAAGGGTAATTCCAACATTTCAACAAAACAATTACACCATTAAGAAAAGGATGACCATGGACCATAATGCAATGCAAGAAAGAATTAGGTTTTAGGATTATAACTAGTTATATTTTTCTCTCTGTACAACAATTTAAGTTTATTTCTTATAAAAATATATGTATTATATATATATATATATATGCATTTTCGTGGAAGTTGAAATGCATTGTAGATGATATGCCTCTTTATCATTACTTTTGAGGGCCTGTGATTCTGTATTCTACCTTTTCCTGTCTTGGTCTCTCCACTGTTGAATGGTCCCCCTTCGTAGGTGGTGCCACTTGGGCTGGAAACACTGAAGACCCGGTACCCGACTCTCTGGAAGGCTGGTGCCTCCCAGCGCCACATTACTGTGTCTCCAACAAACACGGTCAGAGAGGCAGGACTCCATGCATACCCCTGTCCGTAAACTGGAACACACAGACAAATGTAAATATAGACTGAAATGTATACATACAGTACAAACAGTAGGCTACACACATAAAAAGATTAACACACAAAGGGGCTCACTGTATGAGGTTAAGCAACATGTAATTTAACTTTCTGTTGTGCTCTATTTCAGCCTGCTCAGATTTAGTTTGACACCTGCAAAAAGGATTTGAAACGTAAACCTACTGCGGTGGGATCCCTGGTTAGTGACGATGTGGGTCTTCTCCTCTGACTGCACAACACATTGCAGCTCATTCTCTGAGGCGGCCTTTACTTCACACTCAGTTCCTCCTGTTACACCACAAACCAACACAAAACATGCATGAGATAAGGTACAAAAGCTGGTGCAGTAACATTACAGAATTGCTTTTTATATATTTGCAGGTAGTGACATCACAGTAGATCACCACCAGTTAGTTCCTTTTAGTTTCTTCCTCAACTATTATTTTGATGTCCAAGTCCACTGATAAAATATACTTTTGTACTGAAAATTATGAGTAGATTTTTGGCAGAGATTAATCCTGGGATAATAAATCTACTTGCTTTCAAGTTTCTTACCAATGGAGACTTTGTTGTCAGAGGTGTTGTTGCTGAAACCAGATCCAGAAACGGTCAGCCTGGTTCCTCCCATTAAAGAACCAAACAGTGGGTAGATGCTGTGGATTTCCAGGATGTATTCAATGCTGACATTCACACCGTTGCTATGAAATGAGACAATAGAAAAGAGTCCAAGTGAGTCCCAAATGAACCGGGTTATCTGGCTTGTGAGCAAAAATAACTGACTTAGTGAATTTATTTGCTTGTTGTTAATACCATCCATCCATCGTTAACCGCTTATCCTGCGTACAGGGTCGCGGGGCCTTGTTGTTAATACAACTAAATATATATGTACAAAAGAAAAATTTAAATGTCTTATGTAGCCTAAATATCCTTTTTTGGTTTGAATGGAGCCATTGTTTTCCTCCTTTTTTTGTTTATTTAGATTTTCATTGTTTGATTTACATTCTGTATGTAATATACATCCTGCGATGGACTGGCGACCTGTCCAGGGTGTACCCCACCTTGCGCCCGATGTCAGCTGGGATTGGCTCCAGCCCCCCCGCGACCCTGTACGCAGGATAAGCGGTTGACGATGGATGGATGGATGGATGTAATGTACAGTACATCAGTGTGTTTACTGTTTGTGTATTATTTTATATCTAAAACCAGACAAAATAATCTGAGGACATTTTTTACAGTATGATGTGAAACGTTTGATAACAATCCTTATCTTCAGATCTTCCAAAGTTCAAAAGTTCACACGACACCTTTTTTAACATGTAAGAAAAAATTTAAAACACTTCTGACAGCTGGCGTCACTATCAACACTCTTTCAGTTGGTATGTGACAGATGGATTGTTGCCTGTGAGAGTATTTCTAAAGTAAACTTTCACAGTCACTGTACCTTGTCTGGGGGTAGCCACTGTTTCCAACATGTACATCCACCTTGTACAGGCCAGGTGGCAGTACAGGCAGCAGACATGTGATGCTCGTTGTTGTCCACTGAATGGTGACACATTCCTTTTTGCCTATGGACACGATGCTGTCATTGTCTTGGCCTCCCAGGTTTGTACCCTGAATGGTGAGAACTTGATGTCCTACACAATAGGAGTCAAAGATAATTAGCACTTGTCACCTGGTTAAGTACTCTTTCAAAAGGTACCACTGATTGTCCTGCAGATTAACAGGTAATTTTGTTGTCTGCATGCTGCTGTATTGTTCACTGCAACTGTATGTGATGACATGTTAGTCTTTTCAATTCAGATTTCCACGTTAAGCAACAGAAAAAAACCTGCGAGTCAACATTACTTGACGATAACAAAAGGTTTCCACACACTCCTTTAAGCTCCTGGTGACATACCATCTCTGAACAGAAAAGCCCAAATTAGAACATCATTCAGTTTATCTGGTTTTATTACATAGGAAATGGCAGGGTAATGTAAACAAAAACACAAAACATTGTATAGTTTCAAATGATATAGTTCATTAGTTCATAGAACTAATAATCACCAAAGAAAATTCCTCGTACATGAAAAATACAAGGACAAGCATACGATATAAATTGTGTCTGTGTGTATCATTGGACTGATAAGATTTCTATTGACCGTTAAGAACAAAACCCATTTTCCCCATTAAATCTTTCATTTAGCCATACCAAAGAACATAATCCAAGCACTCTTCTGAGATTATCCTTCTCAGTAATGTTTTATATTTTTCCAAATGCAATGAACCCAATTTTACTCTCAACTCACCAATCACAGTGGTAGTGAGGGGACTCAGGCCTGAGATCTGCGGTGTAAGGTTAATGTCATAGGTGAAGGAGCCGTTGGCTGTTTGACTCATGTTTCCCACTATCAGTGTGACGGTCTGTGGTCCTGCAATTCCCTGAATTAAGTAATACAAGTATTTATTTATTAACAAATCAGACAAATAGATCAAACAAGTGACTAGTGCCAGGAAAAAGGGGCAAAAACTATTAGTCAATTACATTTGGTACAACAATGAAAAATCTAAAACTTTAATTGATATTCATTAAACATGTTTTGTTGCAACAGCTTTAAGGCCCTTTCTGACATAACGCTGCACTCGACACTGGGCTAGCACTATGGCACAGCTACATCAAGCACTTTGCTACATCAGTGGCTTTGCTTGATGCCGTAACGCAGTGCAAGATATTGGAAATAATGGGTTTTCTCAGCACAGTGGTGCTGGTGTCGGATTTTGTTTGAAAGGGCCTTTTGCTTGGTTTGCTTTGGCAGATTGCTTATGGTGACTTAATGTTAGCAAAGATCAGGTGTTTATGCATAACTGACATTACTGAGTCAGTTTGCTGACTTGACGACTTCTTTGACCTTTTAACACAACATTTTACATACCATGTACCACCACTCGTGGCCACAGCAACACTCTGTACGTTGGCTCACTTTAAAGCAACCAAGCAAAATGCAATTTACTAAATACTTTCAACATCAAAATTGTGAGTTACAAGTATAATTAACAATGTATTGTTTTAGCAATTTTGTTGACATAAAAAACAACATCCATAAAAAACAGTAGTCTGCAGTCTGCACACTTACTGCTGGCGTTCTGCATTTCAGCTCAGTGTCACTGGCAAGAACCACTGTGCACTCCTCACTGCCAACAGTCACTGTGGTATTCTGGTTGAAGCCGAAGCCTCTCACTGTCAGCAGTGTGCCTCCTAAGAAAAAATAAAACAAGAAAATGGTTATATTTTCTGATAAAATGAATGAGACTCACAATTTGCCCCAACTGGAGGCCTGTGTGTTTTAAGGTTCCCATTGCACCAAATCACAGGACAGTAATTGTGCTTTTGATTTTGAGAGAAATAACAACACAGACTGGGGTTCTTAGTTCAGAGCAGCTGATTTTTTGAGTATATCTCACCTGCCACACTTCCAGAGAGCGGTGTGAAAGAGGAAACAATGAGCTGGTAGGTGAAGTTGAGCATACTGTCGCCTGCGTAGCGTGTATTACCCAGAGATGGGAAGCTGACCAACACAGGGTAGGTACCAGCACTGTTGCTACCCAGCCTGCACACCTGAGTGATAGCTGAAGTACAAAATCTGGTTAATCTCCTTCCACTCAATGAAAAACTAAATATCTTATTCACTTATTTCACTAACCTGTGATCTGCTCAACAAGACAGCTCGCATTTCCCACAATAATGGAGGCATTTTCACCACTGAAGCCAGTCCCAGTCACAGTCAAAAGAGTCCCCAGACCGTTAGATCCTTAAAATGTCAGATATTAAATTATAGATAGATCATTTATCACCATAACTACCGGCATCTAGCATATGTACAATAAACCTGAAGTAATAATACGTTTTTCTAAAAGAGCTGGCAATCCATTAAATCTTTTGTCAGTGATTCAGTTCAGACAGGTTGGTTATATACAGTATATTACTCCTTAAAAATCAACGACACCTTGAGATGGGCTGATTCCAGTCACAACTGGAGTCATGTCCGCAGACCATTCAAACCCACAGTCACCAGAACATTTTGAAGGGATGCCATTGATGTAAACCTCCACCTGCAAACAGCATCACAAAACAACTAATGTCAAGTTTAGGTTAGGTTTCACAGAATAAAAATGACTGGGTTGGACTAATCACCAAAACGAAGCTCTAGCTACAACAGTCATAGCAACGGCATTATAGAGGGCTGTAGTTGTCTTTCACTTCAATGCAAAGCAGTTATTTAATAACATGCAAACATAAGAATCACATCCTGCCTGGAGGCACGAATACAGCTCCTTTATGCAAAGCTACAAACACAAATAGGACTTGCTCTACAGGATTTATAGTAAGCAAACATACAAAGTACAAAGTAATTAGAAGTGACCAAAGCAGACATTTGACAGACAAATTATGGTGAAACCCAATACCAGACAATTGTACCTGTGGTTTGGTTTCCCAAACACGGAAAAAATCCCCTGTCAGGCTTCGCATCAACAGCCCTCCCTTTGTAATCTCCCTGGCTGAAACAACTGCGTTTTCACCAACAACTGACAAGTTGGTAACCTGTAATGAGAATAAATCATAATCAGGATTCAAGCTTCTGGTTTCTATATGCATGTTACTAATGGTTTAGTTTTATTGTTGACTTGCACAAATATCATTGAAGCAGACAAATGAAGTGACCCAAAATTAAGAATCAAAACGGTAATTTAAAAAACAAACTAAATTTAAATATAAATTGAACAAGGTGATATTAGAGACACAAAAAATAAACAGAGCAATGCAGCGCCAAACAGCTGACAACAATAGACAATGCCAAATTGAATTAGAAATCATAACATTTTTAAATTATTTCAAAGGAATCAAGGAAACAATGGCCGTGTCTGGAGAGGAAGGTGAAGATCGTCCTAGTGTCTCGTGTTGTTAGTATAAGTTGGTATAGAAAGTGTCAAGAACATACAGTAGTATATTTATATGTAAACACATATCTGATTAATTTTTACGCCATATTATTACCATCATGACTGCTGCTAATAAACTCTTGATGATTAATAAAAATAATTGTTTTGGGGTAATTCACCACTTTTAACTAAATTAATCTATTAAATAATGATGAAATAAGAAGTGGCATCTGACCGTGAGCAGAGGCTGGTCTCCAGGTTTTGTGAGCCACTTAACCATCCATTCAGGGCGTCTGCAGCTTCCCTGCTTTGTAACGCTGACCTCACCCATCCCTGAGATTCCCTCCAGAGCATACTTCAGGTCCGCTGCGCTAATGTCCACCGACAGACCTGAGAACAAGCACTGGTTGTGTTAGACACCTCTCTGCAAAAGCAACTGTTATATATACTGTACGTAACATGCATAGTGCTACATGGAGACATACGGGATGATATTTCTGGCTCTTTGCAGAGAATCTGGTAAAACAAGATGTCAGTATGGTAATATCATAAAGACAAACTCTAAATAGGGGAATACTCTTTCATTGGGAGCAGGAGATCATAAGCAGAAATCCATACAAGTTTTACACAGTTAAGAGTTGTTACAATGCAAACACAACACCCTCTTCTGACCTACCCTCAGCTCGACTTCCATAAATCTCCACGTTAAAGGTGCCATTCAGAGGAGGGGTGGCTCTGTGAGGGCGAATGATGGTGACGGTGGCTGCTCCCTCCCTAAACTCAGCTGTGTCCTCGCTGTTGTTGGACATCTGGGAAATACATGAGGAGCATTTAAAAGATCAGAAGAAGAACGAAAGGTTGTGTCTCCTTTAACATCACCATACTGTATGTCTAGAGAATTAAGAGGATTAATACGGGCTCTCTAACCCAATAAAAAATTGGATTGTAAAGGGGATTGTCAGTCCATGTTGAATGTGCTTCTTTTTTTTAAATGTTTGTCATTGACTGTTAATAGTAATTTTATAGAGTCATTGTTTGTGTTTTGAGTGGTTTTGTAAGTATTTTCCTATTGTGTTTTGTGTATTTGTATTAAGGTCCATGTACCTGATTCTTTCGCAAACTATCTTAGGCTATACATATTATGCTAGTGTACTGGTCCTTACATGTCATTTTTTAGCTTTAATTTTTATAGGAAAGTCGAATCTAGACAAAAAATTAAAACGCAGAGGCAACAAGTTGTTTTAGAATGATTAAAAATGCTACAGAAATAGGTAATGCTGGATTAATGTCAGATTAATTGTGAGATTTAATTGCATCAAATGTTAAAAAAGGCACTACAGCCTGCAGTCACACTTCTTCATGCATGCCAGTCCTTATTCAGTATCTGGTCACAGCTTCCACTGTAATCAGTAGGCAAATGATTACAGCATGTGGAGCAGGGGCGGAGCTAGACTCTCAGCACAGTGGGGGTGGAGCTTCATCACTGGGTCCACCTGCTACAAAGTGATTTATACCAAGATTACATGACTCCGGACTCACTCCGAAAGTCCACTGAGTCCGTCTGCGTTGTGGCTGCCGGAGCTGATCGCAGCCATTCTAGTCAATGCTTGTGCACACACCAGAAGTGTCCAGCTCCTCTGGAGAGAATATGCAGCCATTTTTAAAATGAAATACCTTGTGCAGACCCCTGATCGTATATCAACAATAAACAAAAACAAACGACGGAACAAATAGATATATAGAGCTGTGAAGAAGTATTAGAAGCACAAAACGGACATATTAAAAACAAATCATTAATGTGAGGCCGGCTGCACGCTCAGCTGCTGAAACACTTCAGGTTCCAGTGGAAGTTCAGGACGGAACTAAACCGCGACGCACATGTCGCCCGTGTGAGTGCGGGGTGATATATGGCAGACTAAGTCCGTCCCTCAGAATTCCCATGATGCATGGTGGTGAAGGGAGTTTTGTTAAAATATGCCTAGGATTTGAACCAGGAACCTACTGTACAAAAGGTAATTCTTCAGCAAATGCACCACTCAACCACACAAGTATACAAAGGTAATTCACCAGTAATAAACCTTCACTTGTTTTGCTTTCAACACATTACATTGGCATTTACTGATTTAGCTGAAGGTTTTATTTGATCAGCTCCCAGTCTGTGATTGGTAGATTCTCCTCCCTCACTACAGTGGGCTGTCACAGGAGTTAACGTTGCTCTTTCTAGAACAGAAGATGATGTATTTCCCTCTTCTCAGGGTTAACAAACTCAGCAGCAGCTCCTTTGGGGCTGAGAGGCTGACAGACAGCATGACCTGTTAATATCGTTAGATCTCCATATAAGGGTACAGCTTAGGTTACAATCATCTAAAAGTATAAAGACACTGAACAACATTGATAATGAATAGATAATGAATAATCATCTACATCTATCACTTCATCATGGAAGCATGTACATTTAGTGATATGTCACTTTTATCCCCCCCCAAAATTAAAAGAATGTTATCATGTCCCCATAATCCCCAGAACTGCTGCATTGACAGATGCAGTGAGTGGAAACCACTGTACTATGGATCCCACCCTCCCACCCCTCGAGCGTATATTCATACTTTAACTCGCACACACACACATACTGACCTCGCACATATATACATACTCAGTTTGCGTATATATACATACTTTACCTTGCGCATACATACATACTCACTTCGCACATATATACATACTCACTTCGTGCATACATACATACTTAAACACGCGCATATATACATAATAACCTTGCGCATGCATAAATACTCACCTTGCGGATACATACATACTTACAAATGACAGTATGTAAGTATGTACAAGCGAGTATGTATGTATTTCCATGACAGTATCTATGTCTGTATGTATGTGCAAGCAAGTATTTGATTTTGGCCTAGGCAGCTTCTCATAGAGTCACTTGCTTATTTCACTTCAACTTCACCCTAGGCTGAAACCCTTTGCCCAAATTTGTGTCTACTCTAAATAATAAAATGAACCTTAACTTAACATACAGTGTTTTCCTACAGTCTACACTGCTGGCCAGATATGGAATATGCAGGTAAAAAATACGTATCAATGTCAATTTAATTATTTATTTACCTGTAGAAAGCCAACTCCTAGCAGTGGGAACCCAAATGCACATTCTACTGGTCTGGCTTTGATCTTGTAGCTGATCTGTGCAGCAGATGATGTGTCCTTGTTGACAGTGATCCACTCAAAGGAATCACCAGAGCTCTCAAAAGGTGGAGGCCTCCTCATTAGGGGAATGGCTGTGAGAAAACAATGCACAGGCCAAAATAAACTGACTGCGTCAATAGAAAAAATAATTTATACATAATCAATTGCACTTCTGAACAACAGAACAACAGCTCTCTAAAATCAAAACTATTATCCAGTTGCGTACCATTTTCATTAATTGTGGTGGGGCTCTTTCCGATGTATATGGCATCCACATAGAAATCTGCACCAGAGGCGTCTTTATAGAGGTAAAACTCCAGCAGATTGTATTTGTTTCCAATGTATTGTGTCTGCAGGGAGCTCTGCAGGTCCATGCATTTGTAACTCCATCTACCAGGAAATAATCACATTTATATTCTGCAATTTTGATGAGACATTTGCATCATGTAATGACAAATTAAAATAACTGACGTTTGGCCCTTATTGAACAGGGTGTTGATCTTTGTGGTCGCTGTCATGGTTAGGCCTTGGCTGTTGAGGTAAGTGAATTTCATTCCTACTTCATCCTTCAATATTCCCTTGTGTGCAAAGCAAAGCTGCAAGGAGAGAAATGGGAAAGGTTTAAAATGTTTTATGATGAAAAATGAAGAGAAAGTCACCATTTCATAACCTTTTATAGACATTAGGAGCAAAGACATACAAGTCCAAACCACCATATCTTTGTACACTTGCAAACTATTTTCTTGATGCATCCATTCATCCATTTAAAGTAGAGGTACATTCTGTGCCAAATTTAACAACAATTAATAAAGCAACTGTGGGTTTTACCGTAGGATGCTTGTCCAATGAAACTGGTCCGTAGGAGCCACCAGTCTCTTTGGTGTAACTGTCCTTGAAAAGAACCTCAGCATTCTTCAGCGACCACAGGCCACAGAAAGCAGAGTTTTTCACTGGAGTCCCTATGAACTGGTGAGTGCAAGAAGATCAGAAAGAGATTAGAAAAATCTGTTGCTCTCCAAGGATTTGTTGGTATTTCAAGGTGTAATCTTAACATACAAGTGCTCGTCACATTTATACAAATAAGTCTGTTTTATTACTCACTACTACGGCTATAATTTATTATTTTCTGAACTCCAGAAAAAAAAATCTGTCGTTTTTTTTCCCCCACTGACCTGAGAGTTGTCATTTTCAAAGTTCTTGAAGTATTTCACATCAGTCCCTTCAGTGGTCAGGATCTCACTGGGACACTCGGCTTTCATCATGTCCTCCACAGCCAACTGAACCTGTTCACAATCACACAGACTGAATGTTAGTATTGTTTCTACACAGCACAGGCTGCCACACAGGCAATTTCTTCAAAACGAGATAAATTTTAAACTCTAACTTTAAGAAATGAAGTGAAATTAAACATGATCTCAACACTTGTTTATGAAACTGTAAAGTTTGCATGTAACACATTTGCAAATGTAACACCTTTGCAAATTAAGCCTTTCAGATATCATCACAATTACACTGAGTCGAGAATAAAAAGGCTTGTAGATTCTGAATCTGAGAGAGAAAGAGAGACTTCCAGCATTTTTCTTTTTTTTTACACAACAGACCTCTGACTCATTTGCATTGAAAGCGATGGGCTTTGTTGGGACTCCTCCCCAGAGCAGGGTGAAAGTCTTCATGTTGCTTCTCCCCTTTGTAACCTCTGCAACAGAAACATTGGTGTCTGGGCCAAAAACCTCATAGTGCAGAGGTTTGAAATCCCCTGCAGTCAAAAAAAGAAAGATGAACAATTAATTGTTTGCACTTGGCTGCTAAAATAAATATAATGAACAGATATTACAGCTGAATCTGCAGGACTTTCATTTTAGGTTTTGAAGTCAGTTTGCACATGAATGAAGTGTAACAATCACACTCTTCACAAACTCAACAGAACCCAATGTTTCTGTCTCCTCATACCTCTGTCAGAATTGAATGTGACGGTGTAGAGAGACACTTGACTGTCGCCTTGTTTGGTGACCTGGACTGTGTCAGGTTTGATGGACCAGAGGTTGTTCAAGGCTGCGCCCACCTCATCTGCTGAGGCACTAACAGAGATCGGTCCTAGAGAAGAAAAAGACAAAGCTGGTATATGATAAACTGTAGTTACATTAGATCAGATCAAGAGGTTTAGTTTTTTGTGGCTAAAATGCATAAAGTCATGGCATATTAAGATAATGAATGTACACGATACAAATACACCACATAAATTGAAGAATAATAAAGATGCATCTGAGCCTCTATGCTCCTTTAGATTAGAGTTTAGGTTTAGGGATTTAAATTTTCTTTTGTGGCTACTAAACTTATATGCACTTTTGGGAAATGAATGTGCAAGATACATATGCATACAAATGTCCAGTGTTAAAGACATCACCTGTTGTTGCGTCTCCGTAGCCCAGGCTGAAGGTGCTCCCACAAATATTGCTGGCACAGCTGCTGCTGACAGTAACAGTCTGGACCTCTTTGACCCCGGTGATATTATTGGGCCAGGATTCAAAGGTTACCACCTGGATAACAGTGACAATAAGGAATGGTGAGGTACAGAAGCAAAAAAGAGGTGGGCACTGAACCAACATCTTCCCTCAACCCGCTACATTGACTTCTACGTCATTTGGTGATTTACATTCTCTCAAATGACTTTTGACAAACCCTGGAGAACAGATCTGAGTTAAACAGAAGGTGAAGAGAACATTAGTGTTAGCAAAAATTATTTTATTCTAACAGCAAGAAAACATACTTTTCCACCAAAGAAAAGCTGCATCCTTTGCTTAAAAACATGCTTTAAATGCAGTACGGTGTGGCTGTATGTTGTGACCTTTTATTATACAGTCTATGGCTGTGACTACACACATCTCTACATCCAAAAAATGGAACTACAAAGCTCCTCTCCTGTGGAACCAGGTTCCAGTTTGGGTTCAGGAGGCAGACACCATCTCCACATTTAAGAGTAGGCTTAAGACTTTCCTCTTTGATAAAGCTTATAGTTAGGGCTGGCTCAGGTGAGTCCTGAACCATCCCTTAGTTATGCTGCTATAGGCCTAGACTGCCAGAGGACTTCACATGATGCACTGAGCTCCTCTCTCCTCCTGTCTCTCTCCTTCTGTATGCAACTTTATCCCATTAATGCATGTTACTACCTCAACTACTTCCCTTTCCCGTAGTCTTGTTCCTCTCTCCTCCTATAATTTCCTGCAAGTTTTTTTGGCTCTGGAGCTGTGGAGTTTGGATCTGTGGTTACGTGTCGCTGCTGCCCTCTTGTTCCTGCTCAACACCCTTTGCTACAATGATATCTCTTATTATTATTATCATCATTAACATTACTATAAAGTGCTGCTCACAGCCACTTCAGTGGGAAACATCCTGGAGCAGTAAAATAGTCCAAAATAGAGCATGTTTGTGCCTCAGTTTTACATTCCAAAACTCTACCAGTTCTGTTACCATTCTGTAACAAACTTTCTACAATTTACAGCACAAGAGTTCACATCTCTGCTTACTTGTTCCTCATCGAACACATCATATTCAGCCACGATATTTTGAACCTCATTTACAGCATCGTTTGTCTGGTCTTCTGTAAAGGGACTCTCCTCTTGAAACAAGGCAAGGTTGACAGTAGCTTGACCACCATATTGTTGATGCAGAATTTCCAAGTAGTATCTGTAGAAAAAAACATTGTTTTAAAATTATTTTAAAAGGAAACTAGCTTCACGACTACAATGAACATGAGCACTATGAATTAATTATTTCTAGTTTTTAAGAGCTAACTAGATTCATGTACTTACGGTTTTCCTTTCTCTAGAGCCAGAACTTTAGACTTTTGTGATTCCAGTTGCTTGTAATCTGAGACATAATATGGCTGGTATGCAACTTTAACCTGAAGTGGAGGTTTTGAAACAAACAATAAATAAAATAATACACAGGCCTACAACATCTAAGTTTCTTAGGTTATCTTTAAATATTTCAAGTGAAACTTTGCATGCTTTATTTTGGTTTAGTACACTCAGATGATAACAGTGGGTGTGATTATTTCTGAACTTCACTGTCTGTTCATACCATATCTTCTGGGCGACTGGAGTTGCTAAGGTATAGATCACATCGGTCGTCACATTGAAGGTAAATAGTGTAGTTGGTGCTGGCTGGAGGAACAAAGAAGCCTCTGTATCGTGAGCTGAAATAATTAAATGGAACAGCAAAGACTTGAGGCATGGAGTCAATCCACTGTGTCCAGTATCCATTTGTGCTGGTTTTGTAACTGCGAATGTCAGTCAGGTAACGTGGATTTGTGTTGTTCCACACCTCCATCTTCAAGCCTCTTCCACCTGGGTTTGCAAATAAATGATGGTGTATAAAAATTAGAGCTGAAACTATTAGTTGACTAAAAAATAAGTTGACCACAAGAAAATTAAACAGCAACTATGATCATCTCTCCCTTTCTATTTTTTTAGATCAAAAATACTAAAAACATTCATTGGTTCCAGTTGCTCATCTGTACTGTACTGTACTGTACTGTAACTTGCTGCTTTTCTTATAAATATTTTTATTTTATTTTAATAATTGTTATTTTGTATGATGTAGAAGAACAAACGATGTCTGTTTCTACTGTTGACGTCAGTTCTGTGAGAGGTGATGTATGATCAAAAATATGTGCTTTGTCACAATCTGAACAGATGATCTTGTTGCAGTACACAACACATGAGAGTCTTTATGAACTGTAACAAGTGATGAAATTTGATTATCATCTTCTGTCAACAGGTTTGTTGACAAGCATGCTTTAAATTCTTCCAGCGATCAACGTGCCATCTGACGTTTCAACACATAAAACAAAACACAAAAAAAAATAAGACAAAAGGACACGGATCCAGCTAAAGAAGCAAATAGTTCCACCTGAATTAGCCTCCAAACCCTTTTCTAAATAATTGGAATCAGCCCATCTGGATGCAAAACTGTCTGCAAGTGGTTGCAGGGGGAGGACATGAAAGCCTGTTTGCCCATTTCAGAGCGAACCTTAAGGACAGACAGTAAAAGGGGTGTGATTTGAGTGTAAACATTAGTTACTAGTTTTAGGTGAGATATACCCCAAAAGGTAAGAGGGGAGCAGACCAAGAATGGACTTAAAATAAAATAAATATATACCAGTTGGTGAATCTGCGCAAGGCCACTGAACTTCTAAAAAGAAGAAGGAGGAGGTGTGTTCTCACCGGGGTAGCCAGTCATGTTGTTGTTCATCTCCTGCATGGCAGTCCTGCACATAATTCTGTCATCAGACACACTTTGGATTTCACAAGGTAGACCTGAGAACAAATCAAGTGTCAAGTGAGTTAAGGTCCTATTCAAGCTCACAATAACACAAAAGCAAAACAGCACAGGCTCCATGTGAAGGAATAGTTAACTGCAAAGTGAAAATGTACTCATTACTTGCTCACCTCCTTGTCAGCTAACTATGCTGAAACTTTGTATGCCTGAACTTTATATGACTTATGAAGAAGTGTTGAAAATGGAGTGATTTAAAATCTGCAATCTCGGCAATGACCTGGATCCAAGGTGGTCACGAAAATTGCAACATTTGACATTTTCAGAGAGGAAGCCCAGATGCAGAGGACAGATTAAAGTGATGAAATAATTTGGACTTGAAGTCAAGCCTTTATTCTGGTAATTGAAGAAACCCAAACTTGATTATTACAACATCACCTTGGGGTCAATGAGTGTGATTTTATGGGCCTGAGCAGTGGGTGAAATTTGCAACCCACCTGCCAATTTTTGTGTTTCCATGTTTTAGGGTTTTTGCTGCACAAACACTTTTTAGCAGAGAAAAATAATCAGATGTTTTCACAGGGTCTAAGTAGAACAGGAATACTGTACAAATTACAGCAAGATATTGAATAACACTGCGGACTTTCATATCTGCCATCTAAAGAATGTCTGTTAATTTTTATAGCATTTGAATGACTTGTGTATTTGAATGACTTGAAAGACTTGTGGAGATATAGAAGTTAATTGATTTAGCATATTCTGAAAAATATAGAGTGACACACTTCTGATTTGACCATAGGTTTTAGTGAGGCAAAGTTTTGTCACACATCAGTAGATGAGCTGACTGAAATTCAGTTCTCCAGGATGTATGATGATGATGATGATGATTTTTTGAAGTTTGGAATGAGATATGTCGATAAATTTACATTTGTTGTAATAAGCCACATCCACTTTAAACAATAATTACCAAATTTTATGCATCAATTGAGTAGCAATCCTAGATCATATAAACCAAATTTTGTACGAATTATGAGGTATAAACTTTCCCCATGTGTGGCGCCCCCTAGTGGAAGAATATCTCCGGACTGTTGAGAAAAGCTTGGACCGAGGATCTGAACAGATGCTTTAAGTTTGGTTACAATAGCTCAAGCCCACTTTGATTTACGAATATTTATGTAAAATTGTACGTAAAGACACAAAAGTAAACATTTATGAAAAAAAAGAAAAAAGGATTGACGTATCAAAATTCTTTTAATAACTTTAAATTAGTGAAGTCCATAGATGATCCTGCCAAAGTTTTGGGTCGAATGTTTTTGAGAAAAATTATAAAAAGTTGCATAATTTGACATTTTTACAGAAGAAGACTATTGAAGCAAAGTTGCAGAAAAATCCAGAGATTAAAAAGGTGATCTTAAGCTGATAATACACAGGGCAACTTTTTGAGCAATGTTGCTGGGCAGTCTTACTAGTGGCAAGTCCGACTATGTTTTGAACAGATAGCGGCGGTGCGGGGCAGGTGGCAGAGTAGTGGGGAAAGGAGATTACGGTAGTAATCTTTACCCATTACTTTTGACGGCAACGTTGGCCTGCACGATAGTTCTAAAAGTTGCTCTGTGTATCATCAGTTTTAGACTGGCTAGTTAGCGTGATTTTTTCCCATTTCTCTCTGTGTTTTTAAAATTTGCATGATTGATTTTGTTTGTTTCCTCATGAAGCATTTACATTTATTTATTAATTTAGCTGACGGTTTTATCCAAAGCAACTTATAAATGCTATACATGTCAGAGGTCACACGCCTCTGGAGCAACTAGGGGTGTCTTGCTCAGGGGGGTCAGATGGGTCACAGCGGGGAATTGAACCCAGATCTCTCACACCAAAGGCACGTGTCTTATCCAGGTCACCACCCTAGAAGCGCTTTGAGCTGCAATTTCTGTTATGAAAGGTGTTACACAAATAATGTTTAACAAAAGTTTTTAAAAAGTTTATATAATAAAAGATCAACTATATGAATACTTGGACTATGTGTACTTTTGTGGACAGTTTATTTTAATTTCTGTTTAACCAAATCAATCGATCTAAGATCATCATCATCATCAAAGATACTAAGGACAGTACCCACCCCAACCACTGCCTGTCCACACTGCTGACTCCTGGGAAGAGATATAGAAGTTTCTGCTGCCACACCACCAGACTGCAGAGCAGCTTTTCCTCCCAAGTCATCAGACTCTTAGGGGGCTTTCACACCTACCTCACTTCGTCCGGACTTTCTGACTCTTCAGTTTGGTCCGAACCAAAAATACAGGTGTGAAACCTCTCCCAGACCACAGTCCAGACCAAACAGATGATATTTGGTCCAACGAAAAGAGGTAGTCTCGGTCCGGATCGAACTGAACCATGGTTCGGTTCGTTTCTGGTGTGAAAGCATTTTTTTTATGGTTTGGACTTTGAGACTATTTACAGGAAGTTCGGTGGTTGACGTGTAAACCAGAAACAAACAAATGCACGGGAAATGCACTGAAATAAGGACACAATTATAAATCTCCCGTGACAGATCATCTTTCCAAGAGAGGGACACTATAGAAGCAAACTGCCACCCATCTCTTTGGTCTCTCCTCAAACAGAGGTGCAGAAAGATTGCTTGCTGTCTTCTCCTCCTTTCATGTCAGCGACGTTTTTTAACGTTCGCACAACGAGGACATTTAATTGTGAATTTGAACGAGCCTTCAGTATAGATGGTGCGGACTTTCAGATGTGAAAGCCCCCTTAAACTCTAATTCATCCTCAGCACTGCAGTGATGACTTACAGTAGGCTACCTGTTTTCATCTTTTTGTAGTATTTTGTAATTACTTTATTTTACTTTACTTCTTACTATGTTTATTGCTAGGCCTATGCACCATAATAAAAAACAAAAAACAAAAAAAAACATGTATTGCAACTTAAAGTCAAAAGCATGTTAAACGACTCTTGAAGTCTAATGAATGACAGGACCAGCTTGTTTTGTCATGGTCTGCTGCATTACAAAGCCTTTGGAAAAGTCTTTCCTCTACTGTACGATCTCTCTATGATGTTCTGTTGTTTGTTGTGTCTTAAAATATGCTCACATTCTCTTGTGTTGATTAGGATTATCACCATTGACTGACAGGGCTTACTAGAGTTTTGTTTTGTGGAGACGCACCACATTCTCAAGCTAACCTCTTTTCACTGTTGTCATGGCATTAGAAACTGACTATAGCTGGGAAGCATAGGCCTAAGTTTCCAGTCTGGTGGTGGTGATTACCTCCAACGAGAACACGTGCTGGGTGATCGGTTTCATCAAAGAAGCGCCCTTGGACAGTCAACAGGGTTCCACCCATGATGCTTCCCCTGGATGGGGAGACTCCTGTCACCTCTGAACAAAAGACAATGACAAACAATTAAATGTAATAAGAACAAAAACTACAGAGAGAACATTTATAAATACTAATTTTATTGTGGGCAAATGTCTTTCTGTCTAACGTACCTGCAAAGGTCTGAAACATGGAGAGCTTGCCCGAAGCTGAAACCCGGAACAGTTTCTTGTCTGCTAAACTCCTGATTTTAAAGAAAGGAATGACTAATATTGTAGTTGTTCATAAATGAATACAGCTGTTGAAAAAATTTATCACCAAGAGTCAAATCTACAGGAGCTTCCAGCTTATATCAATGCATTTTCCAATGCATTTTTTTTTTCTAACTGCACTTTCAAATGTTGAATAAAGCCAGTGGTTAAAGATATTTCTTAGTATGAAGTCATTATACACAATATACATTATACAATAATTTACCTTCCAAAATCATTATCAAGTATGTAAGTCAAGTTGTGATGACCTGTGGGAAACAAACCATAATTTTAGGACTGTTTATAAAGTTTCAAAATGTATCACATCACGTCATTGTTGCTAAGTCTGACAAACTGTCGGTGCTGCCACTGTCTATTACTGCACTCCCCGGAGAAATATTGTCAAATTAGTTGGAAAAAGCGATCTCAGAAAGAAGCAGACAGCTTTGCAGTTGCAATATACATTTGAAGGTAGTATTCAGGCTGTCAAACTGACTCAAACAGACGTGAAAACAATTAAAGATGGAAGCTAAAGCCTACAGATCACACAGTACAAGTGAACCCCCGCATCCGCCGACGATTGTGACAACGATATGAACGATCAACACTGTTCCTGTAATGATGGGTAGGCCTCTATCCATTATTACAATCATTAAAAAGCAGAACAGTAGGGCTTTATTATGTTCCTTTGAGAAGGAAGTTAGCTAGCATTAGCTAACTAACATTACAACAATTACAGCCGACATTTTTCTGGATTTATTTTAGGTTTTGGAAAGAGAATAAATCGTACTTCTCCTGTCAACCTCTCTGTGTAGCAACTGTAACTAAGTGCCCCAGGAACAGCGTTTGACCATATCTTAGAAAAATACAGCCAAAAAAAGCTAGAAAATGACTCTTGTTACATTAGAGTCAATGGAGCGCATCCATGTCGGACTTCAGTTAGAGCGAGTCCTATACTGCTGTGATTGGCCAGCTGTGTATTCGGGGTGCGGCTTAGCGAAGGGTCAATTGGATACAACACCAGTGAAGCTGTCTGTTCAGTGTTTATCTTCTGCCACCATAGACGACCTAGGGTTAGGGTTACAATTTTGGATTTATTTACGCACTTTTATTAAACATTTATTGAAAGTTTTAGTACTTTTTACATGTTTATTTACAGCAGTAACTGTTGAAATATATATTGTAATAGGCAGTATATTAACTTATTGTCAGAAATCAAAATCAGACGTTGAGCACCCCCATATCGCCAAAATGGCATGATCCTTTTTTCGCCGCGAAGCTTCGACTGAAGCCTCAAATGTACTCAGGAGCGGTCACAGACAGCTGCGGCACCCGCGGACGCGGAATTCTTCTGTTTACAATTTCTATTGCAGTCGCGGAAAGTATAATCCTTGTCTAAGAGATTGACTGTCGAATCAGGCTCCGGCCATCAAAGCATAAGTGATTGATATATACAGTATATTAAGAGAAGCTTTTGTGAACAAAACCATCTTACCAACATATGTCCCCGTCATTTTGCAGCTCATGTAACCCCAAGTTGAGTATATAGAGTCCAGTCGCAGGTTATATCTATATATAAAAAAACATTCTATACTGTAAAATATACCAAATCAATTTTATTAGTATTTTACATAGATTAAATTTATTGTATTTTTCATCACTCAAAACATTTCTCTGCAGCTGTGAGAAATATCTGAAATTAAGTTGATACATTTATTGATTGCATTGATATTTATTGAGTGCATTTTATTGTGATTTCATTTCTAAACACAATCTAAATCTAAACAAGCTACTCACAGTTCATCTGACTCTGGTTTAAGCAGCTCGCATGGCATCCCTCCCATGTAGGCTCTGCAATAAACAAGCAACATTTTAATGTTTAAATGAAATTGGTAGTTGTGTGAAAACATTTAGGTTGAGATAATTTCAGCTGTTTTCAATGCAAATGAACACCTTCAAAGAATTTTATTCAGACTAGTTTTTATTGGCTGGCTTTTATTAATGGGTCAATCGCCATACAGCAAAAAAATATACTTTAATGTTTGAACATTTTAACATACATCTATGTTTTATTTTATTCTTTTACCTCAGAAATCTGACATTGTAACCATTGGAGCTCTTGTCAGTGTTGCTTCCATACACATCAGAGAAGATCTGTCCTCGCAGTGTCACCAAGGTACCTATAGTGATTTTGAAATGGTGTAACTATAAAGTTGAAACTGCACTCATTAGAATCACTACATGCTGTCGAGTGTACCTGGGGGGCCACTGACTGGACTCAGAGAGCTGATAGTTGGCGTGCGATACGTGCGAGTCTGGGGAGAGTTACAGCAAGAATGGAAAAAGACTGTTATTAACTTAAACCAAACAGTGAGACAAATCCAAATGCTTGACTGCAGACTCAAATAAGTTGTAAATTATGGAGTCTGTGGTGCATTAGCTGCAAACTTACATAGATGCTGCATTGGTATGGTTTGTAAGCGCCCCTACATATATTGCTGTCCGGAATGGGAACACCATCCACATTAACGTGGACCACATACTGATCACTTGGCATGGCTCTGTGATGGACAAATCAATTTAGATGGTCATATGCATGAAGAGACACATACACCTAGAAGACGAGTATAAATTAAGTGTATTTTCAAAAATGTTTCCATGGCCAGGTAGCTACCTGGTGTAACACGTGATCTTGTTGCCGTGTGTTGAGTCCCTCTCCACATCACAGGGGACTGACAGGGTGTCAGACACCAGCGTCACACGGTTGCCAAATGTGTCGTCGATTGGATTCAGCTGGAACTGTCGCTCCTGGGCAAAACCTGGAATACAAAAAATAATCACTCATGGATGACAAAAGGTTGATCCTACTGAAGGAAATCATTTAGCAACATGAAAACAGGTGAAACTTTAGCAGGAATCCCAAAGGTGTTGAATTTTGTCACAGTTTAGAAACAAATAATACCTAGTAATTGATTAGGTCTGTAACAAGAATTAAGCATCATAATTTTGGATTAAACATTGCCATGAAAAAAAAACTGTTTTATTTGAGGATTAAATCTCTTACCAGATCCTGATATGGTAAGTCGTGTTGCTCCATTGATGCTTCCCAGATTTGGAGATATGTAGTCAATGCGCTGAGCACCTGAAAAATATATAAAACATTAGGCTACAATGTGTCTAGTGCTTGAAGTAGGAAATATGTCATTATTATGTCAATATCTCAGATTCCCCAGTCAGATGTTGTCTGTGTGTTGGCTGGTATATATTTGTGTATAAATGTATTAATATAAGAGTATAAAATTAAATTAAAAAGTATCATGTTAGTGGTCCTGCGATGGACTGGCGACCTGTCCACGGTATACCCCGCCTTTCGCCCGATGTCAGCTGGGATTGGCTCCAGCCCCACGTGATCCTGTACGCAGGATAAGCGGTTGACGTTGGATGTATGGAGTATCATGTTAGTATAATGTTAATACATTCATAGGTTACACTTTGTCTGGATAGTTTCCTACTGATAGAGCATTTGCAACATTTAAACAGCTGATTAGTTGAGATTCATGCATTTTAACTGATTAAAAAATTAAAACGTTTTCTATTACCCCGATGTAGTAAACTTTGATTATTTAGTGTATTAATTATCAATTCAGATAATAATATAGCCTACTACATAGTTTACCACTAGTATAAAATTGTTTCCAGTTGGTAAACAGTAGTGTCCTTTTTGAGGGTTGTTTATTATAATATTGTGCAAGAAAAATGGTCTACAGTGGTAGTCTCTCATTTGTTAATGCTAAGTAGTAATATGTCAATAATCATAACCGTTGTAACATTTCGAAAAATTTGCTGTAGTACGTCAACCTTTTATGTCCTGTCCCATCCAGGCTGTGATTGGTCGGTTTACGAAAAGTTAAAGTGACTAGCAACTTCTTCACAAGGCTGTATGAATGGTACGCGAACTTTGTCACAACCGAATAAGATTAGCGGGCACAGATGCGTTGCGGAGTGCGCAGAGAAACTGATGTCTGGTATTGACTTCAAGCTGAAATCTCTGCCTTGAAAAAGATCGATAGGGGCCTGAAGTTTCCCTCATGTCCAGCTTCTCCTCTGCTGACAGCCTCAGTTCGGTGGTAGCGCAAAGTTCAACCTGGAAAGCACAGGGTGTGTGTGTGTGTGTGTGTGTCAGTGGTGGATAGTATTATTATAGTATTCCTTTACTTAATTTTACATCCGTCAAAAATGCCCTTAATTTGCATTAAGAAAGAAAAAGAATTAGCCTACTTCAGTTCCAATAGGGGCCTCTACATTTCTCTGCTCGGGAACCTAATAGGCTATAAATTAAAAATGATGCTAAATGCGAAAATCTTGTGCAGATGTGTAACACAGATTCAGGTGATGTTGGTTAAAAGATAACACCAGTTTGTTATCAATAAACGTAGCCTATAGATAGACCACTTTGGCTTCAAGTGCAACATCTTCATCAGGCAGTGTAAGCTGTGAAAAAATGCTGTATTAAGTTACTGCTGCTAATGCAAACTGAACATTTCCTGCTGCTGCAGCTTCACATTAAAAGCATTTAGCCTAACTGGCGAAAGACAAGTTGACTTTTATTTTGGAGTAGTCACAGGAAATGCAATCTGTTTATCAGTGACAGCGCTGACCGCTGTTAAACATCAAAAATGAGTCTACACAAGACAACCGTCATTTTCAACAGTTTTCTGACAGCGGACCAGTTTGAAATATTGCAGTAAGCAGCCTGCAACAGTCAGGACCAGACACAGTGAGCTGTTAGATAAAGAGCTTCATGCGACAGGCTGCACACCTGCACCTTCTCAGCCAGGTAACCAACTCCTTTCACTTTCCTGTAAGCAGATTCATGTTGTGTGCCGCATAAAGTCAGATCATGACTGTTTACAGAATTATGGAAAATACCAATAGGCCTAACTGCCCGACAATATTTTGTTTAGCTTCCCCAGATAATAGCCTTGTACAATTCCATCGGTGGTTAAAAATAAGTTTTCATAGTTTGGCAAGATGCTGTGCTCCAAACTGACAAAATGACAGCGGTGCATGAGAACATGCAGGGCATTAGCAACTTGCTGGTAACTAGTTATTTATTATAGGACGCTTATGATATCCCGATAAATTACCACAATGTAAGGGATATGACTTCATTTATAGCCTACAGTCCAGTGTTTCCTGTTTTCCCCGTCCAGTGCTGCCGCCAGCGTCTAACCTGTCCTGCCACAGTTTCTTAATGAAGCGAAAACATTCTCAAACTTCTCATTATAACAAAATATGTCATAGCTTTTAGCCATTGATTTGGCAAAGTATCTGTCAAACAAAAAATTTAAAGCGCCATATGGCTTTGACTGTTATTTAATTAAATAAGTAGCCTAAAATACATAAATAAGGTATTAAATCAGTATAAATAAGTAAGTTTATGAGGTTAAAAAAGTAACTAAGTAGCCTAACTTTTACTCTTAGTAAATTTTAAATGAGCTACTTTTTACTTTTAGGCTAGATTTTTATAATGGTAATTTTACTTGTAGCCTACTGTAAAAGTTTATCAAAGTAATCGTAGACTACTTTTACTTAAGTAGTAAAGTACTCTTTCCACTTTCCACCTCTGAAGTCTACAGGAGCACAGGCAGCGAAATTCTAGTCGATGCAATTTAATAAGATTTAGCCCACATTGGCAGATTCTCAATGGAGCCTGAAAACAGATCACTCACACCTGTTTTTATCAGATTTCTAGACCAAAAAGCTCAATTTAAACAAATGCAGATTTTTATAACCTTTTATTATTAATGTACTGTACATTAGACCGGTTACTTACTGCAGCAGCACCAAAGCGTGAGGAGGAGAGGTGCTGGCTTAAACAGGGACTCCATCCTGGAGATTTGCCAGATTTCCCTGAAGCGTCCCTTCAGCCTGCTTTAATTACTGGCGTGGCTGTTGGGAAAAGATACATTTAAAAACATTAATAAAACAGCAAAAGTGCTGTTTTTAGAATAAGAATAAATTAGGTAATTAAACGAATTAGTGATTAAACCCTCCAAGATTATTAGCCTATAGAATTATGAGATTGAAAAGATTTACAATTCAAATTACAATGGAATTTAATAATGAACACAGCCCACCTGTTGAAAATGTAGTTTCCTAGTTAAATGTAGCAGGTGAGAGAGAGACACTGATACAGGAGAGTGCACCTTTTTATTAGGCTTCTCAGTGCACGCCTCTCACCTGAAGCTGTGAGGAGGAGACTGTTGAGATCATCCCATCCTGGTTTCAGTGCATTTAGGGCGTGTCAGAATCCACTTTTGATATTTAAACAGCGGAAAAAACACACTAACATCTACGACAAAGTTTGCAGGACTTCTCATATTTTTTTTGTGCATCATCACGTCTTGTGACCCTAGTGTATCATCACGCCCTTAATCTGAGCCCTGCTAAAAGCTTCCAGTAATCATAAATATGCACTTCAATTGTCAAATTTCATAATGTTGCTTTAGAGAAGGGTATGAGTCTGAATAGTGGTGAGAGTAGTGTGGCTGTGAAGGATTCAACTCGTGGAACGCCAATATTTCCCATTAAGGTCAAAATCCTCTGAATGTGACCAAGTTGTTCATTTCTATGACATTCAGACCAGGATGTCCCACTAAATAGTCTGTTCTAACGTGTTGGCAAAACCAAATATTGACAGCTATCATGTAACAACCATACACAGGCGCATGCACACTGCCCTCACTTCAAACTTAAAAACTCTGTCTAAAAGAATAAATACCCCTGTCACTCTCAGACAAATTATATCCATGAAGTTGGAAACACTGAAAAGAGAAACACAAATCTTTAGATAAAGACAGTAAAAGTATGTGGATGATTATCAAAGAAGTAGAAATTGTCTATAACCATCAACACTACCCTGCTAATAAAATGTAGACACATTTTCATCTTTTCTTAAAAATGTACAATTTCATGAGTAAGAGAACTACATTAACTAATGTAATAACGAAACATGCAGAAATAACATTGAACGTATTTAACCAAACGTATTTTTGTCTTCTTATGTAACATCCTAAAGAACCGAAGAGCCTCACAGCCATGTATGAAAGGGAGACAATGGTCTACTCTTACACACATCACTCCTCATGCATCTGTCTGCATTGTTGGGATTCAAATATGAGAAATCATTAACAGAGCAAACAGGTCTTCAGCATTGATAAATAAAAAAGTCCCAGGACCCACAAATGACCAAAATAGGATTTTTATTTTTTTTCCAAAACTGCTGCTTAACAAACTAAAATCAATATGAAAACACACAATACAAAATAAAAATAATATTCCAGCATTGCTCACACAATGAGAACAAACATCAGTTTGGATTTTAATTGTGATAGTGAGTAAAAAAATGTCTAAACGGGATTCTTTTCTCATTCACAAGGTTGCGTGTTGAGCTAGAAAAGCTCTGATTCTCTGCAGGAGCTCTTTCTTCACACTGTCTGGTACGAGTGCTGCATAGAAAACAAAGTTTTGTCAGAACACACAGTGGGTGAGTAGAAAAAGAGAAGCACCTGCAGACTGATATAATCCAGCACAACAGTACAGTGATACATTCTTTTATAGTACATATTTATTCTTGTAACTTGTATTGACTGTGTAGTGTGTTTTCTTTATTGTGTGTTTTATGTGTACCCCAAGTATAGTAGCTGATGCCCCCCCCCCCTTATTCATGTGTGTGAACCAGCTAGACAAAACAATAAATGCCTTTTGGTATAATGCAGTACAAAACAACAGCATGACAAAGCACAGCCTCTAAATTTACCAGAGAATTGAATCAACACAGAAACAACTAAAAACATTTTATGGAAGATAGAATCTTTTGTAAAAACACGGGTCAACCATTTGCTGTGAATGTCTACAGAGTTGAGAAGCATTACTGTCAGTGAAGCTCTGAGTGAAAGACGCTGGCTTGGTGTGAAGGTATAAGATTCCTATTTCTGCTCTTTGACTGACATTTACTGCACTGAGCTAATAAATCTGTCTGTTCCTGTTTGGAAACATGCCAGATGTAAACTTGTAAACTCAAATATGAAGTCATTTGCAGTTTACCTTTGCAGGCTGAGAAAATACATTATTTACCTTTCTTTCTTAAATATCTTCAAAGTAAAGTTTGAACTCAACTGTCAGTCCTTTTTAAACCTCTCAAACCCTTCAGTTTTCCCATATTTTTTGTCCTTTTTAGTAGCTGTAAGATTAAACAAATCATTTAAGTCAACTTTCTTATGGACGTACAATTCTATCAAATGGAAATGTATGTTTTTATAGTGACTGTTGTATTTAGTACGTTATTTTTGTTTAATGTTATATATAGTCAAAGTTCATAATGTTTTTACTATTCTTTTTTTTTAATTTATTTTTTTACACAAGTTATTAAAGCTGCAACTATTAATCAATTAGTTGTCGACTTATAAATGAATCGGCAACTATTCTGATAACCAATTAATCTATTTGAGTAATTGACAAAAAAAGTAATTATCTGATTCCAGCTTCTTAAATGTGAATATGTTATGCTTTCTTTCCCTCTATGACAGTAATCTGAATATATTTGTGTTGTGGACAAAACAAGAAATTTGAGGACGTCATCTTGAGCTGTGGGAAACACCGATAGTCATTTTCCACCATTTTATAGACCAAACAACCAATCAATTAAAATAATCGACAATTAAAATGATTGTTAATTGCAACCCTATTACTTATCACTTGTATCACCTCTCATCTAATGTTATTCTATATTTCTTGAGCATCATTTGATCCACATGTCATCAAAATGTGAAATCTTTAGAACCTGTGGGAACCTGTGTGTTTTTTTTGTTTACTTTAGCAGATTTTATACATCGAACAATTAAGTTAAGCATAATAACAGCTCCTTGAGTATGATTAGTATAATTTCTATACTTCTTCCACTCCTTGCTGTTGCGTTTGCATATGAAGATCTGTAGCCTACCTCTGCCTTTGGGTGTGACTTCTGCGACTAGGTCCTCCACTGTGACATGCTCCAGGCCCTTTTCTTTGATCACATCTGGACAAAACAGTTAATGATTTAAGAGATCCAGTTTCATGCAAGCACTGTTTCAAACACACAAACACAAATACCTTTGCAGTGTGCTTTCAGCTGATCCTTCCACCCACACTCCACCAGCTTTGCCCTGAGCAATTCTTTCAACCTGCGGCCACACATTCAGTTGGCATTATTTAAAACGTCTGATATCTCCAAACCATTCACGGCCAAATCAGTGAGGAGAAAAGCTTGCTTACCGCTCCCGCTCCCCCATTTCTATCAGCTTCTGGTTTATTGCAGCCCTCATCTGGGAGTCTTTGCTCATGATCTGTTTGAAATCAAGCACAACAATTTCAGTAGAATATGCACAAATAAATGCTTTTTTTTTTTTTTGCTAGCTATCAGTTAGACGTTACCTTTTGTCGAGATGGATTAGCTGGAGAGCACACAGTCCCTTTAAGTTACCGTACCGTCTGAAACGTTAAAAACTGTAAGAAGGTTCCGCTCTGGCAAACGGTTAATTTACCACCAACCGACTGCGTCATTGCTAAACAAAAATGGTCATATCGAAAACTATATCTTTTATTTACACAAATTAACTTCTTTTTGTTAACACGACTAAATTAAACATTTATAAAGCCATACAAATAAAGAGAAAACAGAAAGAACTCTACCTCCCGTGAGCGCCGCGGCAGGTCGTGTCCGCTGACAAATGGCTCCGTGTGCGACAAAACCGGAAGCGTGTGTCTCACTGACTCCTTCAACATCATCTTGCTTCACATCAACTTGTGGATAAAACACAGTCATTTTATTTAAAAGACATGGCTGCGTCGAATTATTCTTTGAAGGTCAACAGAGAGCTGCTGGACCCTAACTTCGAAAGTTACAGGTTATCTCTGGACGCTATACCAACGTACAACGTAGAGCTGGATGCTAGTAAGAGAAACTAACTTACAGTAACAGTTAGCAGGTGTGCTAACTTAGCTCTGAGACCAGGCTAAAAGCTCTGCTGTAGCACTTCTTTCACAGCTGTAACGTTAAACAAACAATGAAGTAATAACACTGAAGCTGCTCTAGCTGCAGCCCACTGACTCAAGTTCCTTTACTTATACTTGAGGCGTTCAGAGGGTCACTTAAAAATTGGGAGTAAGTTAGTTTAAAATTGTTTTATTTACTGCACATCATCAGAGTAACTGTGACCTTAGCGGTAACAAAATATACACAAACATATATCTATTTATGTAGCGGTGTGTCTACTCAACGCAGTGTTTGTTAGTGAGGAATTTATATTGACTTATATGTGGAATTGTCTTTAGCTTCACCACACAGCACAAGTCTAACGTTAGTTATTATATGTAATTAAACACAGCTTTATTTTATGAAAGAGGGATAAGGAGGCTATACATTTAATATTTTAATTGCATTTGGTAGGAATGACTGTGCTCAATAGTAGTGAACTGGACTTGTTTATAATGGCTCACTGAGTTATAAAGTGCCAACATATAAACACATGTGTAAAAATTCAAAATCAACTTGACATTTCAATAATGTAGAGAAGACATGAAAGTAAAGGTGCAAGTAGACATATGTTATCATAAAATAAAAGAGTGATACAGAGGGATGTGCTTGCATGTTTATTTTTCCATCTATTTTTATCACAGCCACAGAAATGCATTTTTATAAGCCTAATATAATGCAGGTACGAACAGGTCAAGCTTTTCTGACATGCTTATTTCAAGTAACCGAGTGGCTTTCAAACCTTTTTTTCTGTTACTAATGTAACACTAAGTGACAAAAATGATCAAAAAAGAATGAAAACGCTACTGGGCTGACACTGAGATCAATCTAACACATATACCAGTGGTATGTTGACATAGAGGTGCACTTCTTCAATTTGTAACTAGTTAAAGTAATCTTACTCGTATGTCTTATTTTAACCTTTTGCTTTTTCGTCTTTTTTACAGCTGTGGAAGAAGTAAAGTTGAAGGATACTCAGTACACCCTGGAACATGTGCGTGCTTTTGGCATGTACAACTACCTCCACTTAGACCCTTGGTATGAAGACAGTGTATTGTTTGTGGACTGCAAAGGACGGGTTCTCAGCCTCACAGTCACCCTGGTAAGCTTTTAAATCCTCTTGATTTTTCTTGAAGGTTGTTGTTCCTTGTTAGCAATTTACATTTTTGTGTTGTAGTAAAATGTTGGCCTGTTTGTATTTATCATTATCTAGATGTCAACATGTCTCCTCACAAATGTCTATGAGACAAATTCCTTCTTCACATCAAATGAAACAGTCGTGATTCTGATTTTACAGTTTTTCTCAGTTGCTTAAACACTATAACCAGGCTTTTGAACTACAATTTCAAAACCATAACTCTACACACAAATCCCTTCATTTTTCATTGCCTACACCATGTGGTCATTCCATATTGTTCGCTCAAGTCAGCATAGGTTGAGCTTAATTAGCACACAGCTACCCAGGTAGAAACACAAAGAGTCATAATTGATCACACACCAATCAGAACCTTCAATCAATCGATCTTTATTTGTCGCCGTAGGGAAATTAGTTTGCAGCACACTCAAGTAGGCATTACATCATACGGCACAGAGATAACCATCAGACATACTGATAAACATACTAAAACTAATACTTCAGTAGATGGATAAAAGGGCTGGAGTCAGTCCATTCAGTTTTGGAACAATGGATCCAGAGAAAACTGAAGTCAAGGAAAGATGTAAAGGAGAATTCATAAGGACTTAGGAAAAGACGTCCGCAGGGCTCAGAGAATCGACAGCTCTTTTCTAGGCGACATAATTTTGCATTGAAGCCCCTTTCCAGCTCTTATCATGGTTGCCAAATATGTCTGGGTCACTTCACTCAGTTAGGAACCTTCCTAAGCAAAAAAAGACTTTTCAACAGCAGCCTAGGAGTTGGAGAAGAAGATGGGATAGGAGGAAGATGAGGAGGTGGAGGAGTAGAGAGTGGAATAGGAGGAGGTAGAGGAGGAGGAGGAGGGAAGAGGTGGAGGATGAGAATTTCTGGCCTGTCCCAGACCAAAGACAGGACACTGGGGCAGAATAATTTGTTGTACAGTACACTAAGGAATAAAAAAATGTGCAAATGTTTGCATTTGTTGTTTCTTGTTGTGCTCGTCATGTGAAAAGGTTTGTGAGGGAGAGAACCACAAGCAACATTATTAATAACCAGTTTTGTAGTATTGTTTTGAATTTATCTCACCAATGTGTAAGACTGTTGTAGTGAGGCGTGTTTTTGAGGGCTTGTGTGTTATGTCTGATGGCAAAGTTTGGTTTTTCAGCAAGATTGAATGGTTTTGAGTGGAAAGCTTCATTTTGACCTGAAAATAGGATGTTTGGGGAATTGGGTGAGAAGTTGTGGATTTGTGTTAAGAGTTTTGAGAAAAAGAGTCATCGGAGGCAAGAAATGTGTCCAAGTCATTGAGAAAAACTGTATGACAGTGGAATTGTTGGTGGGCTTGAATACATCTGACACACCAGTAGGTGGTGACCAAATACTTGTGTAATAGCAGCTTCAGCCCACAATGTAGTTCTGACAGGTGATGTCAAGAGAAAATAATCTTCTCAATAAAATGTATAGATACAAATCAATATTTAGCCTACATTTTACAAGCTGCAAGATCAGTGTGGCTGTAACTTGTTGTTCCTTTACTTAAGATCCTTATTGAGATTCTCAGTATTCAGGGAAAATTACAACTTTTTATTCTGTGTTTTGTCCACCGTGTGAGTCATCACCAGAAGATAAAGTTTTGGATGAGCCCTTGTCTGTCTGTGTTGATTTACATAATTGACTCAAGGTACTGATCCAATACCAAGATGCTGAGACAAGGAACAAAATCAGGCTTACTTTTTCAGCAGAGACTCCTTTTATGTCTAAGACATCATTGACCATGATTAGAGGTAATTGGTGCTGCAACTGTGTTTTTTTTTTATGTCTAAACTGGCCTCAATGATGGTCATCAGTCTGTAATCCTGTGAGACAGTACTTCTCGCTTTCAGTGGCATAATTAAATGAGTCTTTGTGAAAAGGTGTTTCTCAATTTCTAATTACAATCATCACATGATAATTATCCTCTCTGGCAGGCCTTTTGTGTACATTTACAGGGATTGTAGTGTTGCTCTGAACATTGTACATAGGCAGTTTACAGTCTGTTTGGGGCGTTAATGGCACGGATGCTGGAGAAAATGATCTCAAAAGGTGCATCATACATTAGGTAGCGATATAATACGCAGTGTCACGCTCCATGGCAACAACAGGGCAGCTGCTGCATAGTCCTTTTGAATCACTGTTACCTCATGCAATGAGTAATTGATGCTCTTGTGGTGGTATATCTATCTATTACTAATAAGGCTCTGAGAGTCGTGAATCACATTAAAAAAGTCACATGGGTGGCCACAGTTGGACAGTTGGTAACTTTGTCTCTCCTTGATGATGGTGTGTTGTTTCCTCTTATTCAGGTTTGATGTCAATGGTTTTATGCTGAAGGGATCTTTCTGTGGCCCTGAAAACAAGAAGAACATTGTGGAAGTGTATTTTTTTTTTACTGTGTGTGTGTTTTCATATCAGATGTTAATCGCTGAAGTTTCTTATGGGATTAGAGTGCCCCATTCAGTATGAAAGTAGTTCTCAAGTGTTTCTATTTGAGTCACGACTGGACTGCTTTAAGAATGTAATTCATATTCAGTATCACCCGTTAAACAGTGTTCAACAAAATCTTTTCCTCAGTTTTACTGTAACTTGCAATGAAATAGAGACAACATTTTGGTATCATTGCAATGCTTTTCTCCATCACTACTGCTGAAAAATTGAGTCTATTAGTTGATTGACACAAAATTAAATGGCAACAATTTAGTAACCGATTCATTTTTTGAGTCATTTTCAAGCAAAAATAGCATTTCTTCTGACTCCAGCTGCTCAAATGTGAAGATATGCTGCTTTTCTTTTCTCTATGACAGTAAATTGCTATCTTTTTGGGTTTGGACTGTTGATCAGACAAACAATTTGAATTTGTGACCTTGGGTTTTGAGAAATTGTACTGGGCATTTTTTTTACTATTGTTTGACATTTCATAGACCAAATGAATAATCACAAATGATTAATTAAGAAAATAATTGTTCATTTCATCCCTATCCAACAAAACGTTCAAATTTACTCCCTGTTGATATGAATGAAATAAACAGCTTAGATTGATGTAGAAAACATGTCTGTCTGTTTTCTGGATGTAGTACTGACTGATGGACAGATGGGTGACAAATTAAAGGAAAAACCAGTATGCACTGTCTCAATATGGAGTCAGGCCACCACGAGCCTCCAGAACAGCTTCAGTGCTCCTTGCCAAGTGTGTAGAACTCCGTTGGAGGGATGAACACCATTCCTTCACAAGATATCGTCTCATTTATATATCAAACCTTTATTTAATCAGGTAAAGATTTCGCA